ATTCATGCCCACAGTTAGGATTTATTTTTGTTGGAGTTTTAGACTCCAGAATGAATCAACTTGAAATATGTAGTTCCAGTCAGAGAGTTGATGAACAGGTGCAAACCAAGATAGCAATCTCATCTGAAACAAGAAAACCTCCAAGCAGGACATCCAGACATGTACAGCTTACACAGGTGTTGGATGAGTTTTTGCCTACTCACGAGGATGCCAAACTGTTTGAAATAATAACACAGCATTAGCTGGGTGATCAGATGACCATAGCTAGGCTCTGTAATACCTCTGCTGAAAAGATCCCTAGTATATCAAGGAAGAGTTTTCCCTACTGGAATACATGAATAGGTTTACAATCATCTTTGACACCAAGCCCAAGCAAAACTACCATTTCAGCCTTTTGCTTAGAGATGCAGATCCAAACAGCAACGCAGTCAGTGTTAATCAGCAAGGCTATAAAGGTGGTTTGGCTTGGGTTATTCTGTTGCTGGTTTTTTTCCTTCTAAAACAGATTCCAACATTAAGCCCAACTAATTTACTCAATAAAACTAATACTCGTTAAGCTATATTTTTGGGACTTCCAGAATTAACTTGGTTGGCTATTTTGAAATTTCATATAAGAGAACTAAGATAACAACAATAATCAAATGATATTTTTATGTAAGTGGACTTAAAGAATCAGTTGCTAGACCTGCACAGCTCCAAGGATATTTTTTTAAAATCAGTAACCCAGAAATAGTAATCTTGCATAAAGTCCCCCAATTTGTACCACTAGCAGTATGAGAGAAGCACAAATAATAAAGAGTAAAATAGATCTGTTCTGTAACCAAATAAAAATTTGAAAGGCATGGTCTTAAAATAGGAAATGTAGTGTCAAGAGAAATTTCCAAAGTTCCAAGAAAAAGAAAAAAAAACAAAACTGAACTCCTGGAGAAGAAAGGAAAAAGGGAGAAGTGGGGAGGGGGTGGGAAAGAAGTTTAAATTTGAGGTCACCTGACCAAAGGATTTTTGAGATGTGTACAAATTATGGATTGTTTTTAATATTTGAAATCACCCGTAGTTATTAAATGTTATCACTGTAACCTTCTTATTGGTTTAAGCGATAAGCTCAGAAACGAAGTGATTTAAGGAACTGACTGCAAATGAACTTGCAGAAATTCCTAAGCTATCGCACATAGTTTCCCCAAAGTACCACAGAACCATAAAATGACCAAAGGTTGGAAAAGACCTCCAAGATCACCCTGTCCAACCACCCACCTATCACCAACATTTCCCCACTAAACTGTGTCCCTTAGTACAACAGCTGTGTGCTCCTTGAACACCTCCAGGGACAGCGGCTCAATCACCTTCCTGGGCAGCCCATTCCAGTGCCAGACCACTCCTTTGGAGAAATTTTTCCTAACGCCCAAACTGAACCTCTCTTGGCACAACTTGAAGCCATTCCTTCTCATCCTGTCACTAGTCACGTGGGAGAAGAAGCTGACCCCCACCTTACCACAACCTCTCAGGCAGATGTAGCAAGAGAGAAGTTCTCTCCTGAGACTCCTCTACTCCTGACTAAACAGTCCCAATTCCCTCAGCCTCTCAAGACCTGTGTTCCAGATCCTTCATCAGTTTCATTGTCCTTCCCTGGACATACTCCAGGGCATCCCTGTCTTTCTCATAGTGAGGGAGCCAAAACAGAACATAGTACTTCAGATACAGCCTCACCAAAGCTGAGTACAGAGGGACAAGTAATGTGGATGCTCTGTAAGTTAGACTTTAAGTGCAAAACCACTTGCCTGACACTTGGTTCTTCAAACGAGTTCACATCAGAGCACTTCTCCAAAAGCATATGTCAAACAGTTCATTCAATGCCTGGAAACATCAACTGATGGACACTGAACCCTTGAGTTCCAGGCATCCCTCCAGGAAGTTCTTTAGTTACAAATGCATCAGCGTTTCATTGCTCTGGAAAGAAATGCTCTTTCAAACTTCTGATATGCCACCTAGCATCTCTGTTGAAGTACACCTTTCATCCAGAGGCTACAAGATTGAGGTTTGTACATTACAATCCCTTGTGCAAATCCAGAAGTCTCTCTCTCACACAATCAGAACTAAACACCACCAACAGCAACAACAAAAAATTGCTTAACTGCAATTCAAAGCTTCCTGGCAGCTCCTCAAAGTGGACAGGAACCTCGATTAATACAATGAATAAGAAAGATGCTTTTCAGGCTAATGATGTGAAAGGATGGCTTTAAGGCAGCATAACTATAGAGAGAAACTTTAAAAACACTTCATTATCTTCTAGTGATCATACCTTTGCACCCATTGCCACGATTTGCAGTTGCACTACTTTTCATGAGAATTCAAAAAGACAAAAGGAACCTCCAGACAGATACTCTCCAGAAGAGAGTAAACAGTTATGTCATGTCCTACTAGGAGGTGTTTGTCAGCAAAGTTTAGAGTACATTGTGGAGAAGCATTTCTAGGCATGTGGGGAGTGGAATCTCAGAAGATGTGCCATTTACAGGATAAAAGCAGCTCTGTTCTGCTCTTATGGTTCTCACAAATCCAGACGATAAGAACAGAGGACAACACTGCCTAAGTTCCACTGCCTAAGCTGGGACTGTTCAGCCTGGAGAAGGCTCGAGGGCAGCCTTTCAGCATCTAAAGGGGGCTATAAGAAAGAAGGGGACAGACTCTTTAGCAGTATCTGGTGTGGTAGAACAAGGGGAAATGGTTTCAAACTAAAAGAGGGCAGATTTAGATTGGATACAAGAAGAATATTTTTTTTACAATAAGGATGGTGAAGCACTAGAACAGGTTGTCCAGAGTTGCAGTGGATGCCCTGTCCCTGGAGACATTTGAAGTCAGGGTGGACATCAACCTGACTGATTTGCAGATACTCCTATTCATTGCAGGGGAGTTGGACTAGATTAGCTTTTAAGAATCCCTTCCAACTCAAACAATTCTATTCTGTGAAGTCAAGCTTGCCTTCAGGTTCTCTCCACCAAGGAGATCTTCCCATGTGGGAAGACAACTTCTTACTTCTAAGTGACCCCTCAAGATCTCCACCACTCACCTTTGTCTGCTCTTTCCTGAGTTGCTTTAATAATGCTACATCATCCTGTGCCTTTTCCCTCTCTTCTCTGAGAGTTTTCACTACACTGGAAGTCTGAGCAATGCAGTTTTTGATGATTCTCTCTCGGTTGGTGTGAGCTTCCATAAGCTAAGTGAGAAGAGGGAAAGTCATCAGTAGGTCAGACATTAAATTAAAAAAAACTGCGTTACAAGTTTAAGAGAGACTTTCTGGAATCAAAGTATTGCTGTGCCTACAGAACTCCCTTTGTCTCTATAATCCGTATGTTAGAAGCAACACTGCTTTAAGCAGTAGCTACCAACTCTATCTGGTGGTAAAAGTCAAAGATACACATGCAGATGACAAACGAACAAGTGTTTTTGAGCACCACAAAACTATGCTAGCACTCATTTTTCAAAGAAAGAATCAAGTCATCTGGAAGTACGTTTCGAAAGAATAGTACTGCAGGATAAGCCAGTCTACAGCGTGATTTTAAAGCAAGGCAGCTTCTACATGCATGTGGTTTAGCTGTGGAGAGAAGTCAAGCATGCCAGCAATGAATACATTAAAGCATGATCTATCAAGTCAGCCTTTTCCTTAGACACTGATATTCTCCACTTTAGTAGCCACCGCACATCATAAAATCTCAGAAAGCGAGCTGAAGTTAAAGGAACAGACACTTACAGATTGGTAGAGCTCTTTACATGTCTGGCTGGCGTCAACTTTCCCTACAAAGGAGGCTGTAGGAATTGTAGTGTTTAATTCATGGACAATTCTGTCATCGATCGTCCTCATCACCCTGAGCAACTCCTGTATTAAATAAATACAAATTATTATTATTATTTTTTTTTTTACCCAAGAGAGTCGAACAGCAAAAAAAGCACCGTTCAGTGTTTTAATAGAAATTTAGGTTTATCTTTAGAAATAGGGGGGGGGGGTGAGGGGAAACAAACACACAAGGAAGCCACAGTTTCTATATGCTTGGTGCAAAACAATCAGTTTCCTTAGCAGGAAAGCCAGTGGGAGACAACTGGGCTAATGCAAAGAAGCGAAAACCCGACGAAGGCAGCCCCAGCCCCGCGCTGCACAGCAGCAGGCTCACCCTCGCTTCTCCCTACACGACAGCCTCCTCAGGCGGCAGGGCAGAGCAGCTGCAGCCCGCTCCCGGAGCCCCACAGGCACAGCAGGGGTGAAGAAAACGGGAAGCCGGCCCCTGGCTGCAACCCCTAAAAGCCCTCCGTGGAAGAAGCAGGCCTCTGGCAGGGCTCACGGTATTACCGAGCAGCACCGGCAGACCGCGCTGAGCCACCACACTCCGGAACAGCCCACGGGCTCCCACACGTGCCGCTCCTGCACACAGCCTTACTCCATGAAGCCGTGCAGCCCGGTCACGTTAAAAGAAGAAGCCGATCCCAAGGGCCAATCTGCGGCGGGCAGGGCAGCGCTGGGCACTCAGCCCGCTCTCGGCTGCGCGACCAGGAAGGCCGGAGCCTCGGCGCGCACCGTGAGAGTGTTACCGAAGGGCGCGCGGGCGGTAGGGCGGAACGAGGAGTCGGGGGGGCCCGGGGCGCCCAGGGCACCGCGGCCGAGCGGCCGAGCGGTCGCGCAGCGCGACAGCCGCCCACAGCCCCTCACGCCGCCTGGCAGCGCGCTCCCCTCAGCGCAGCTACCTGGAACTCGGCGAAGTCCTCGCAACTCGCCGCGCTGCTGGGCGCCGCCATACTGGAAAGGCCGAGGGCGCGGCGGCGGCCAATCGCACGGGAAAGGCGGGGCGAAGCCGGGCAGGGCGGGCCCTGCTTTGGGGGGTCCGGAGTTGGCGGGCGGCGCGGCCGGAGGTCGCCGTCGAGCTGCGGGAAGGGCGGCCGGCCCCGAGGGGCGGGTCGGTCGGCCGCGAGCGGGCCCCAGCGTCCAGCCGCCCGCCTCCAATCGCGGGGCCGGGGCGGAGCGCTGCGGAGCAGTGACATTGAGGGGAGCCGCGCAGGGCCGGGCGGCGGGCAGCGACATGTGGGGCCGCGCCGGTGAGTGGCCGTCCCGGCGCGGGGAGCGGAGCGGCTGCGCTTTGCCAGTGCCGGGCGGGTGTCCGTCCTCTCTTCGGGCCGGGGGACGCGTAACGCGGTGCTCGGCGCCTCCGAGGGGTCCCGGCCGGGCCGTGCGGGTCCCTGCGAGCGCCGAGGTGCGGGGCCTCCGGGCTGAGACGCAGACGGGAGAGGAACGGGCTGGTTCTCGTTGTTGCTGGTCCTCTGAAGACCTTGGACGCTGCTGCATTCAGGAGGGCACTGATCCCTTTTCCCCCAAAGAGAAGACATTTTCCTTCATAAAGAAGAAAAAAGAATGCAATTTATTTTACGTGCCCTTTTATCTTCCAGGGTTTTTTGTTTTGGTTTGGTTTTTTGTCTTTGGGTTTGTTTGTTTGTTTATTTGTTTCCCCTCAGAAATGTTTCGTTAATGAATAAATTAAGACTTTCTTCAGAGCACGTTTATATACGTAAGGTGTTTTGTCCAGTGAACCGCAAAGCACCTGTCCCAGGTCCCAGCTCTGTCACTGGGAGTGACAAGATGAATAAAACGTGGGTGTACAGCACTTGGAAGAGTGCTGCCCGGAGCAGAGCGTGTGGCCGAGTAGATAAGTTCCTTGAAGCGGTGTTATGTCTTCTGCCGTAGAAACTGCTCATAGGCTGTAATCGGTCATTCTTATTATTCTATATATGCTTAATAGACAAACTCAAGTGATATATTTTAGAATTTGTAAAACTGACCTTAATTTCTTTATTAGATTCTGATGGTTTATAGAGTCATCTTTAATTTCTTTATTAGATTTCATGGATTATTATATCTGCGGTTTCTTTCATAGCATTAGATTTGTACCTACTGCTTTTATTTCTTGTTTTCTCTTGAGGCCGGGGGGAGGAACAACCTCTTACCTAAAAGCCAGCCTTCTCACTCCATAACGTTCTGAGCTAGACCTAGCCCCTGGGTTTCCTCTGCTTTCTCCTCCAGATAAGGCTGTTAAGCTGCTGGAAAGAAACATTCCCTCCTTTCTGAGGATGGGTCGGGGAGTGGGGCCGAAGGTGAGCAGGAGGCTCTGCAGCAAACCCCAGGAGGAAAGTCCAGTGCAGCCAAGAGGTAAGTTTGTGATAAAGACTATGCTATGTTTCTTGCTGTCAGCTGTTTAGATATCAAGGCTGCAGTCATCTGAACAAGAGCCCCTGCTTTTGGGAGAATTAACTCGTATTAGACTGAAAAACTGAGCATTAAAATTGGCAGCAAGATCTTGAATTTCTTTTTTTAACAAAGCCAAGAGGCAAATTTTCTTCCTGTGACAGTAACAGCTTCTGCTTTGTAGTAGGTCATTAATGTCATATTCAATGTATGGCCCTATACTCTGAGGCTCTTCAGCTGGAACTGACTGTTCAGCCCTAACACAAACAGGGTTTAGGAACACTGTACCAGCTCAATACTTCTGCAGTTTTTCGTAGTAGAGCCAGCTCTAGCTGCTCACAGGCCTGAACATGCCCTGCAGGAGAGAATCTGAGTTACTGACTCAATTCATACTTAAGGATGGAGTGGATCAGGGAAAGATGAGGTCATGAAACACTGCCAATGGGACAGTTATGGTGCTCTAATCAGATGCCTGTGTTGTTACTGGTTCCCTTCTTGACCTACTGAAGCTAGATCAAAGCAGTGTACAGATGTGAAGCATTTTGCATAAATGTTTAAAAAAACAAAACAAAGCAAAACACATCTGTACTGGGTGAGACCAAGAATCTCTTTAACAGTGTCATGTCTCCAGTAGTGGCCGATAAAGGGGGACCCTTACATTTCTGTGGGAACTAAAAGAAATAGTGATGGATAGCAAGGATCTAAGGGCGAGTATAAATGAAACATGGCACTGCTGTCGCAGAGACAGTGTCTTTGTGTTTAATGATCCTTGTCAGATTTTTGTTCTGTCAGTTTGTGGAGTATCTTGAGGCTGAAACTATTTTTAGCACCCGCATCCCCTGGGAAGGGGTTCCTCAGCTGAACGGCACAGTGAGAAAACATCTACTCCTTGCGTTTGTTTTTGAATCTGTCATATGCTGTTTTTGCTCTGTTCTTAATTCAGTACTCTTTCCAAAGCAGGGCATTTGTGGTCCACATTCGCAGCATCACTACAGTTCTGGTACCCTCTGTTATGCTGGAGGGGTATTCAGTGGGTGTTTTTCCAGGCTTGATGGGTTTTGGTGTAATACAGTGTTTGTTCTGTGGTGGTCACTCCACACCTGTGATCACCCTTAGGAATCTTCTCTACTCATTGCAAACCAACTGTTATTGAGACAAAGGCTCAGTGTTTCACAGGCTTTTCAGAATGCCAGACTTGTGTTTTTGTGAAGTGACATAGTAACACTGTTGTGTTGCTCATTGTTCCTTTCCTTATCATGGCTAATAATACTGTTTGCCTTTCTGTTCTTGAACTTTTCCCCAAACTTCTTCGAAATCCCAAGGACTGCTCCTGAGCAATAAAGATTAGATTATAGTTTGTCTTTTGTATGTGAACTGGAAGTGCTTCTTATTTATAAGTGGAATTCCATTTGCCCTGCCACTGACTCAGGACTCTGAAGGCCTGCAGCTCTTCTCACGTATCCATCTTCTTTATGGTTCATAATAACTGAGTGTTGTCAGCAAACTGTGTATCCACACCACTTCCCAGGTCATTAATGAATCCACCAATTCATTTATGAACATACATCCATGCAGAATCTATCCCATCCCATTATTTTTTTTGTTTGTTTTGTAGGCTAGATTGTAATGTTACTTAAGGAAACTTTTCCATACTTTATTTTGAGCATTTTGTGTATGGAGGTTGAAAGCCTGAGATGAAAATTAAGGATCTGGTCTTTGCTTATGATCACCTGATTGTTTATACCTACAAATAAGATCTCTCTGACTTCCTGGAAAACTTAAAATTCTTTTATGCTATGGAATAGGATAATGGCTTTTCTGTAGCAGTTCCATTTGTTTTCTTTGAACTAATTTAATAGTAGTGGAAATACTATCATCTCGCAGTTTAGGAAGCTTAGATGCTGGAGCAGGTTCTGCAGATTTAAAACTGAAGAAGGGAGGCCATGAACAAGATTTGGCTTTCCCAGCTAACCTGCCCTCAGTTTAATTCATGTTCAGAGGTTTATTAATCTGACCGTGCAATAACCTTTTTGTTTTATAACCAACTCTTGCAACTGTACATACAATTCTGGGTTATTCAATCTAACTGGTTAGGGATTCAGCTTTTCTGATTGTCTTTTTTGGTTGGTTGGTTGGTTTTTCTTGTAGGTCGGCCTGTTTTCCGGGTGCCTGGACACAAGCCTACAAACTGGGAGAAGAAATGTTTGCTGTGGGCAGGCCATTTCAAGAAGCCAGAGGATATACCAGAGGTTGTCTCGTAAGTGCCAGTTTCAAAGCTGAGAAAGAGAAATTGCCTGCATAGGAATAAGTTGTCTGAATGCAATTCCAAAATACCTTTTTTGAAGGAGAAGGGGTTTCCACAGCTGAAAATCCGTATGCTGCTGTATCATCTTGTAGATGAGATTATGTGACCTGGAGAATTCTGTATCGCTGAGATGATTTACATGTAAATCATCTAGGTATTTCCTGAAGGGATGGCCAGCATCTATCATTGTTTCATTAAAAAAACATCACATAGCAATTAATTTTTATTCCTCCAATCAAAGAAGATCTTTGCAAATATTAATGATGATCTTTTTCTAATGCTTTCCTTTACATGTCATAGCCTCCTATTGCATCAAACTTTCTTGATATAGCCATAAAGTAATTGAAACTCACGTAAAGTATTTATTAATGAATGTCTTGAGGGCAGAGGCAGAGGGAAAGTTTCCCCATTGCTGCTGGAATCCAATGTTACTGCCTTGGTCCCTGTGATATAGAAGATAAAACAGGATGTTCTAGTAGAGCTATCTAAAATGAAGATCAAATTTAACAAAAGCAATTTTAAAAAATGCAATTATCAGTTTAAAAAAGCATTTCCAGTGGCATTTAAAAGGGAATTCTTGGCTTTGGCTTGAAGGAAATAGTTCAGCCAAAGTTAAGAAGGGGATCAAGAACTACAAAATTACAAAAACTTTTAAAATGAAAGTTGTGTTCAGATGACTGCCTTTTCCTCTTGTATAGTCTAGGATACCCAAGATACTTCAAAAACTAACTAGTAGAATGTTAGATCTACTTCTGCATGTTTCATCTTAAATGTATCCTGAACCCAGGTTGTTCATCACAGATTATTTGTAAGAACGAATGACCTGGAAGCTAAATTATTAGCTTCATGCTAGATCAATGTGTTCTCTATGATCAGAATTTTTTTTCAGATCAGTACTCTGAAACTGTGATCAAACCACTCTTGCACTCCTCTTCAAAAGAAAGACCAAAAGCTTTTCAGTTCTTACGTGACTCACCATGCCAAACCATCGTGAATCCTTTCTCTCCAAATGTAAGGGTTAAAACATGATACAGGATTCCACATTCACTCATGATTGCATACAGTGTTAGTAACTCAGTCCTGTTAATTCCATTATCTGTTAGGCTTAGCATACAATTATTTTGTGCCATGATGTTGATGCTTTTCAATGTATAGTATGCCAAATTTAATCAGCGAGCATATTAGAACTCCTTAAGAAGGGAGTCATCCACTCTATATTCTGCAAGAAGAGTTAAATACTTAGGAGTAGGTCAGTAGTTAGTGTGGAAAGCACATCTGGACGTGTTACACTTCATTGGCCCTTCTCGTATTGATACTCCTAATACACACTCTCCATTTACTGTAATTGAGGTTTAATTTGGTAGAACGAGCTTCACAACATTTGGAAAACTTTAATAGCTATTCCTGTTGTGGAAGATTTCTCTTAGAAAAGATGACTTTGACCAGCTTACAATCCTCCGTGCCTCCTTCATTCTCAGGAAAACAGATTACCTGAATGAAGTCTATTTCTTCTAGCAGGTGGGAAGTTGTAGCCACTGGTATTCTACCAAATCCTGTTCAGAATCTCCAGGCATGTTCTTTTCAGCAGCCAGTGTGAAATTTATAAATAGCTGTAGTAGAGGAAGCCTTCTTTGGAAAATATAAGGTACCATAAATTAAACCATTTTGAATCTCAGGCAAAAAGAATTGCTAAGCTGTGATAATATGCTCCTGTGCTCAGGAAACGCAAACAGTTAACATTTTATTCCTTCTGACAAATGTTTTTTTTAACCATTCTTCTGCTATTGAGGGAACACACATTTTACAGTTCTGGAATACACTGCAGTTCTAATGTTGATAAGGTACTTGCTGTATTTGTAAACTTTAGAAAGTAGCATCATAAACCAGCATTATAAAAATATCCTTTTCCTGTCTTCCCTGTAGTGAACATACATACTGAGATACTGCAGTGCACTCAGGTGGTCTAAAAAGGCAACATTCTGTAACAGCTGAATAACTGAAAATTAAAAATGTTTTGTGTGTTTCCAGCTTTGAGAGGAACCCCTTTCTTACCATGATTTGCATCTATCCTGAGGTAGCTCTCGAGATCAGACCAGCCCATTCTTGTAAAACCTTGGGTTTGTCTTTTTGTTGTTGGTGGTTTTTTTTTGTGAAACTAAGTACTGCTAGTGTAACGCACAGACAGCATGCAGGAGCAATCACACAGCTAGCCACTGGTTTATTTAGGTCTTCAGTAATGAGTCTTATTTTATTATTTCTTGAGGATTGAAGTAATCCGAGCAGCACAAACCACTCTGCGGGTGAAGTTCAGCTACGTAATGATTGCCTTGACAATACTGGGGTGCATAGCGATGGTGATCCGAGGGAAGCAGGTAAGCATAAATTTTTGGCTGGTGAGTGCAAATGCATTTTAACAGAACTGTTAACAGAACTGTTGGTCCTTCCGGTTCCCCAGAAGGTAATGCTCACTGATCATTAATCTGGATGCTGATCATGCATCCCAGATCAGAAAAGGGTGTCATCAGTGTTAGACTCTATATACAAAAACAGTTTTTTCTCCCACTGCCTTCCCAGCCCAGCACGATACATCACTCACAATCTCATCTTGCACTTGCAACTCCTCAGTTTTGCAGACAGGCTGCAAAAGTTTGAAAGGAAAAATAGTTTTCTGTTCTGTTAGTCTGATAGACAGCTAAATGTTCCTTGGGCCAAAAGGATCCATACAGTTAATTGTGTGGTGAACCTATTACAAATCACAGTACCTCTCTATGCGCTGCAACAGCAAGTAGTGTTTCTTCACCCAGACTGAGAATTCTCAGTCTTTAAAGTGGGGAGTTATGGTAAGCACTAATTCTGTGCTCCTTAGTTGTATTAGAAAAGTCTCCCTTTACTCTTAATGGAACAATTTTTTTTTCCCAGTTACTGTTTAATTGAAAAAGCTGTATATTTAATAGAAAAGCCCTCAAGTGCTGTAGACACCGAGCAACCATCCTCTCTCTACTCCTAGGCTGCCTTTCACTAAAGCCATTCTTCTGATTACAATGTTTCACTCTTCTTTCTGTTAACATTTCCAGGTAACTTTAAAACTGAGTCTCAGTGCCAGCACTATAAATTATTGAAGTGGTAACACTTCTACTTGTCTGCATTCACTTCTCAAAATATAAAAGGATGCATCATTGAAATTAATCAATGGAAAGGCTTCTCCTAGGCACTAGCAGAAGAAATCAAGGACTAACAATTTCCAGAAGTTATTCCTCTTAGGTTCACAGAGTATGAGCACAAACACTGGAAAAGAGGACAACTGCTTTGGGATGTTAGTTTTCACAGCAGCTGTAATCTATTATACTTAACTTTTTGTTGCTCTGACTTCTGAAGACCAGAGATTAGTATGAAATACTGACCATAAGCAGAGAGTACATCTGCTAGTGCTATTAACAGAAGGCCTTAACTTATTCCCAGAGAAATAACGAGTTTAAAGTAAAATTATCTGGATGTTGAATTTTAACCCTCTCTTTTCCAGGTTTTGCCTTGGTAAGGATAGGCCAGATATCTTGTAAGCAATTCATCTCTGTGGCCCTTTAAGTGACACTTTCTACTCATGCTTTGTCATTATTTTGTAGGCTGTAAAAAGGCACGAAACTCTTACAGCCATCAACCTGGAGAAGAAAGCTCAATGGAAGGAAGAAGCTCAGAGTGCACCTGCTAAACCTTAGAGGAGAAAAGGAAGAAACCAAGAATGGGGAAAGAAAAGCTGCTGTCCTTTTCAGCGAGTTGCATCTTTTTTGTGTTCAGCGTTTGTGTTCAAGAATGAATGCATTATGCTGTAGTCATTAAAAACAAACATCTGTTTTCTTCCTGATACCTTTCCTCCAAACACTTTTTCAATGCATTTAACTTTACTTCATTCATTAACTGTATTATAACTCATTACTTCAGTCACCCACTATTGCTGACTATTCCAGCTCCCTTCAGAAAGAATACTATATGGATTCTATATTTACAGGCTCCCTAAAACTTTCTGCATGAGAGAACAATTATTAGGCAAGTCCTTGACATGAGAGTAATTGTATGAACTACATTAACACCGTCAAAATGATCAGAAGTTACTGGAAATCTTGTTTACTTATTTTAGGTCCAATATATTCTCGCCTTCTTTTGCTAAAAAATGGGAGAGGGAATGATAGTGAAATAGCATTCTGCAGAAACAATGTGTTGTAAATAAGAACCACATTTTTTGACTTTTTTTTTTTTTTTTTTTAACACTGAGTTAGCAGTGAGGTAAGAGGAAATTAAAATTAAGAGAAGTGTTTTAAAGAATACTGAGCATCAGCTTCAGCCTGTGCTATCCTGTTGTTTACTTAGAGGAATAGGAGAAAGTCAGTCAAGCATTTCTGCTCTCTGGTGCCAAGCTCTTTTTCAAAATTTATTTGGATTTATTTGCATATTTTCCCTTTAAATTGCCATCTGCGCTTTCATGATGCTAACCTCAAGTTTCAGAAGCAGACCCCCTTCCTAATAGCCCTGTTTCTGGCATCATGTCACAAGAGTTGCATACTGTTTGTGCTAAAGAGCATTCAGCAGTTGGAGACCAGTATTTTTTCTTCCTCTCAGTACAGCAGACTGGGATCATCATGGATGTTCAGATGTATTTTCCCAGGACTGCCTGTTAAGTGGCCCCCAGAAACTCCACAAACAGAAGAGGTATGTGTTTGACAGATGTAGTTTGTGAATATTTTGTAAGCACAAGGCAGATAGTTTTTCCTGAAACTTTTCTTCCTTGTGCTACTGAAAATTAGCAACATTGCTGAAGAAATTAAAAGTCCTTCAAAAATGCAAAGGATTGTGATTTTTTGGTGCAGTATTTTGTACTGTTCTTGATGGCAAGCAAGCACTGCAGTCCATCTTTCCATGAATTATATTTCTGGTTACCCTTCCTACTGCTGAGATGTACTCAATCAGATACAACATGCAGTCATTCCACAGAAGTCACAACCAGCAGGTGATGCCACGACCCATTATCATATTCTAAGACAATCACTGCAAGAATGTTGTCATGCAAGCAGAGCAGGCTCTCATATATTTTCCATTCAGTTAATACCTAGTGGTGGTCGTAACTGCAGTTATGTGAACAGATCTTTCATGACAGCTTTTGTTCTTTGTTACACTACTAAGCATATAGGTGCCTGTGCTTACGCTGAATAAAACCAAAGAGCAGAACATCAGCTTCACAGCAACCTGAAATAATGCCTGGAGAGAAATTTGTGATTTGATTTATGCTTGGTGATGACAGAACGTAGAACTATGCATCTCTCAGAAGTGTTCCACTTTCAATAAGCACCTCTGAATGCATTCTAGCAGGTATCTCATCTATTTTTGTATATAAATCTTAGAAAGCAACTCACCAGAGCAGCAACATTGATCAGTTTTTCCATTTCAGACAGTATCTGTAACCTTTATGCCCTTTTTTAATCAAAAATTGAACTCTGGTCCAGTAGTCCAACTGAAGCTCCATGCAGTAGCAGTCATACCCTTCCCTTATGAGTCTGGTATCCCCACAATTTCTGCATCTACAAGAAAACCTGAATGTTGCTGTGCACATTTGTGTTTTCTTTCAGCTTCCATATAGGCTCAAAAAGCCTGAGCTTTATGCCACCCTCCAACTCACCCCAACCAATGCAGGTTTGGGTTTTGTTTTTTTTTTTTTGCAAGTAGTTTGGTAACATAAACATTAATCTTTATGAGAGGAATAAAGAAAGAAACACTTTCACAGTGTGATAGCCTCTGTGAAAGCGTTTCTGAACACAGACAAATGTTTAAGAAATATATGTATACATTAGACTGGCCGCTTAGGCAGTAATGTGCAGCTAACAAGAATACCCTGCACCACCTGATTAGGTCATACCTTTAGCCTATGCTTTTTATAACACTTCACGATGAAAAAGAACATTAAGAACTTAGAACAACATTTCATTTTTTTCCTCCCCTTTAGCTTAGTCTGAAACACCATTTACTTTTATTCCAGAAAGTAAAATTACTAATTCCACACCGTGCACCTTTTAATTGTACCTGTTCCATATATGTCTCAATCCAGTGCTCAATCTGCCAACTTGAATGCTGCCTCAGAAGACCATGCAGGAGCACTAAGCACATTGTCATAGTAGTACAAAAAAAGATCTTTCTTATTTTCCTACTAAGATTCAGATACCTAAAGATCTTAATGTTTCCTAGCTAAAATAGACATAGGAAAGTACTAATCACATGTTGTGACAATTCCAGACGAAAAGAAACCATATTGGAAAACACAGGGAATTACTTAAAGCTTTTCAGAGATGCAAGTTTGCCCAAAGGTACACCAGTAGTCCCAGAAATCCTCAGGGAAGCACACTGACGCACAACCATGAGCATTGTTGCTTTTGGAGCTGGGTGGGGGGGCTGGTTCTTCAACAGTCTTAATGCTGCCTGTTACAGAAACACAGGGTCAAGGACACCTGTTTTCCTGGGTCAGTGCCTTCCTCCTTTCCCGTAAGATTAAGAGACAGGACTTCAACCACCAGTATTTGGTAGCATCAAAGAACAGACACAGAAATAAAACAACAAGCTAGCCCCCAGGCAGCAGTTGCCTCAAATAATTGTTTTGCCTGTGTATTCCCAGAAGCCCCAGGCACTGGCCCTGCCTTAGTTACTGAAGTTCCAGCAACTTTCTGCCCTACCATCTTGTGTATCCTGAATGCAAGAGAGCAATCTTGCCTGCCATGTACCACTGGAAACTTTACCAACAGAGCGAACAGTAGCTCGTTCCTGTTTGCCACATAACATGAAAGGAACTTCAAACCTTTTTAACAGTTGTTGCTCCTAGTTTTTAGCATCCTTCCTTTAAGTCCTTATAGCAACACTGAGAACGTTCCTGTAAAAAAAGTTTCAATAAAGCTGAGTATGAAGTTGACATATTTCTCCCATTTGTACTCAAAGGTCTCTTTTTATACCTATGAGAACTACGTTAGCCATACAGAATCATGCCAGGCAATCAATGGTCAAGTGGTAATGTAAGAGGATCCTCACATTTTTTCAGAAGCACTTATCTTCCAAAACAGAGTCTTTACATGGGGCCCGAATGTTATTTATTAGATGGGTATGTTACACCACGCATTTGGCTCTATCAAAATACAAACAGTTGGACTGCTCTTGGTTTACCAAGTAATTCTGATCAGTCTGTATCAGTAAGCTCTTCCTTTCATAATGCACAAATCTGTACTCCCTTCCACACTCCTGTAATTTGCAGCCTTCGTTAGAAATTTTGTTTCTTTTCAAGTCATTAGTAAGACTAAATAAAGCAAAGACAAGAACTGGTTGCTGGAAGATCCTGATGGAAATACATTCAATTGAGCACCATTTAAAATCAAATTGAGACCTATGAGTTTAGCCACATTTTAATCCATTTAATGTGTGCCACATTGACTTCTGTATTGTTTTAGTTCTCAGTCAAAATATAATGCAGTACCAGTCAAATGCTTTACACAGTGTAAGTATATACAACAACAATGTTACCTGTGTCAACCAAGCCTGTCACTTCAAACAAACATATCAAGTTTAAAGATTTATACTTATCTGCTCTGAATTCACATATCCACTGCAAAAGTAACAACACTGGCTAGGCTCCTTACACAGGAAGGCACACCATTCAGCTTAAATGGACTAATTTTTTAATTTGCTCATTTAGAGGCAATTGTCATTTTTCTCTTGGGGGCAGGGGAGGGAAATGCCAATGCACCACATTGTTTTCACTAGCCTGGAAGAGAAAACACTTATATATATAGATATATAGATATGTATATATATACACACTTACGCATGTGTGTATATATATATACACGTGTGTGTGTACATATGTATATATACACACAAGTGTATATATACACAGAATATACATATATGAATATACAGAATATATGCACACACACTTCGCTCAGATTTGTTTACAAAATATGTAGCATTTTTATACCATCCAATAAGAGGTAAATGATTTTAAACAAATCTTATAGAAATGACATGTTATTGGAAATTTACACGTAAAAAAATCCAGCACAAAAAAATCCAAAAGCTAAAACAAGATTTTGCTACTAATCAGTGCTTCTATCACCCTTCAAGAAAAGAGAAACACAGTTATTTATATGTGATGTAAAGGCAACATTGAGGGTTTTTGTTTTTAAATTAACCACCAAATTTAACCCCCTAAGATTACAAAGAATCAAAGTTCATTTACAGATCAAGTGCAGTAAACTAAATGTTCCTTCAGCACAAAGCAGCACTAGAAAATAACTGGGAGAGGGAAGGGGGAGGCCAACTGGCTTAGCTAGGGAGGCAGCAGGTGGCTTCTGCAGCAGCCACACAGGTCAGTCTCCATCCTGAAGCACAGACAGAACCAAAGATTGTATTTAAATAATGATGACGCAGAGTTGATGTGTTCAGGCCTTTGCCTAGCTTCTTTCAGCACTTTGACAAGCATTTTATTTATTTGTATTATTCTGTATACAGTGGACTGTTTTTTGCTTTTGCAGTGGCTTGTCACTGAGAGGAGTCATAAGGAGGATCTTGCAGACAGTTCTGCCACTAACATTTACCACAGGTACATGACACTGCAGATATCAGAGGCATTTTTGAAATGTTTACACTGGACAAATGTGTGTTGCAAATGTTCCAAATGGCTTGAAAGAACATAGCCCATTGCTGGGGTTGAGGGAGGCAGATAGCCTGGAGAACCCATTGCCTTTACAGAAATGGAACTGCCACTTACAATCACATGGCATGTCCCCCTTTTTGAAGAGCTTGGTGTCAATGTCAGCTGAACTCAGTGAGGAGTGGCCGGCCTTTGCATCAGATGTCTGTGATCCAAGCATCTTGCGGAGCCAAGAACATGCTGCTAGCAGAAGGGCAGTCTACAGCTGTGGATGACAGCTGTCATGCAGTCAGCAATGCCTTACAGATGTCACCTGTAGGAATCAAGCATTCCATGCCAGTTCACCTGAAGTCCCATAAACAGCAGAAGAAATAATGAAATGAAAGGGCCAGGTGGATCTGGGTGTAATATTGACTATCCTTTGAGCATAGAGTCATTTTAGTTCTTAAATATGAGGCTTGACCAGTAGGACTCTTTTAGGCAAGTTGGAAAGGAAGCTCTTGTCTTGTGAAAATGAAAAGGAGATCTAACACTCCCTGTGCTAAGTTTTACAAATTAAGATTTTGTGTTCAGAAGATAATTTTTCAGAACTCAGTTCAAGTCAAGCTGTGTAAAAATGTTAAGAGGCAATAGAAATTTTTCAGCCATAACTTTACAACCAAGGACCAGACTTTGTAGCACAAAGTCAGGAAGGGCTGGATTTTAAGGTAGGCCTGGCCGGATTATACTGTGCTGGCAAGCAAAATGAGAGTAGTTTCTCCATTCTAAAAGCTATTTCAAAAAGTCATTTCTGGGGAAGTGGTAGGAGTGACCTATTCACAGGTTCCTTTTTGTGGATGGAAAGACTGAGAAGATACGCAGATCTCCACAGTGGTCTGCAGTCCACATTGAGAGCTCAGTGTTGAGAAGGGGTAGGGCCATGTGTGTTCAGTATTCCTAAAAACCAGAAAACACATCCATTGGAGCTTGTTGTTGCAGGGGATAGAAGACTTATTCCATTATTTGCAACGATCTATATTCCAATAGCTCCAGCTGGCACATACAGCGAAGGAGATACATTCCATATGAAGATTTAACGCAACTCACACAGCGATCCGAGGAGGCATCCAGAGAAAAGTATGGGAAATGAATTCAGCCACGTTCTCAGAAAGTCTGAAAGTCTCCCTGGAACTGCAGGCACACACTGCAGTAAATACATGAGAAAGGCAGCCTTACTTTGGATGCCAGGAGTGCGGGGGGCTAGTGGAGGTGGGATTCTTTTCCTGTAATAGGAGCAGGGAATATCTCAAAGTATAGAAATGTGCCTCAACCTCATGAAGATGACAGTGGAGAGGTTCAGAATCTAGAGAAGAAGTGTGATTCAGGCAACCCCTTGCCAAGAAGGGGGCATCCTGCCACAGAGAGCCGAAAGTTTTCCAGACGTATGTAAGAGAATGTGCACAAGGCAAGCAAATGAGCGCAAACAGGGTTATGGAAAACACTGAGAGAATCACTCCACAGGTGGCTTGTGGCTCGACAACAGGATTGGCTAGGTAGAGGAGCACACGGCACAGAGGCACCTCAGAGCTGGAAGCCTTCCATGGGAGCCTCACACTGCTGGAAGATGTACTGTTGCTGGCTGAGATCCACCTGTGGGGCAATGCTACTGTCTTCATCCTCTGTTCCAAAGTAGTGCTCAATCAGATCAAATGCCTTCTGATAAATCTCTTGATTCTCATGGCTCTGGAGGAACTCAATTTTGTCGAGGCCTGCAGAGAAAAGAAGTGTGCAAAGTTACAGCTTGGTGAAGCATTACAACTAATGATCATATTCAGTCTATTTTAAATATCACATTCCATCAATCTTTAGAAAAAGATCTGCACATTTCTGTGACATTAGGTGGCTAGGTAATCAGACATCTCTGTGGTCAGCTATATCTGTGCTAAAAGAGTGTATGCGTATATCAATGGGGAATTCATGCTTTGCCTCTCTACTGTATTGTCCTAGAAACAAGAAGAGGGGACAACCTCAGTCCCCTCAGTCCAAGTGATCCAGAAGGGCAGGAATCCCCTGGGTCCTTCAGTCTAGCAATTTCAGTTGCTGTTAAAAGAACCAACACTCACCTGGACTCCTTCAGTCAGAATCTTTCAGAAACTTTTTATAATTTTTTTTTAAATAATTTTATTCCAAAATCAGAGTTAAAACTAACTGGTTTTACTGTGCAACTGGCACACATACAATGACTATATACCACAACTGAATTGACATGACATAAACACACCTTTATAGCCAAATTATATATGGATTGCTTGCCACTTCAGTATTTTTGAAAACATAAGGAAAGCCATGAGCTTATAGACAGGGAATGCAGAATGGCCCGATAGCACAGTGTGCTAAGAGAACAGAGGATTAAGACCTCATGAAGTGGAGAGCAAGCACACTTACTGTATTCTTTGTACTTAGCATATGGAAGAGAGAAGCCAGTCGTCTACAAAAAATGCATTAAGAAAAACCCACCAGTACAGCAAGAGTGTTAAATGGTGAGTGACTTACAAGCTCTTCACCTGCAGTCTTCTGCTAAGATAACCTTATTTACGGCATGAAAAAATGAAATTAAGTTGTTCTCAAAGATACTTAATTGTACTGAGAAACACTGCTGAGGTGGAGAAACAGATGTACCACACAGGACAGAAAATGTCCAGACTCAGCTGAGAGGGCCTTTTAACAAGAAAACTAACCTTAAAGAGTAGCAGTAACTCAGAATCAGGATGAAATGACTGCAGTAAACACCACAACAATAGCAAAGCAAGGGCAAAGCAGGAAATTGCTGCTGCTGGCAGAATTCTGCAAGGCAGCAGAGAGGGAAAGGATAGGCCTTAAAACTGTGCAACAGAACAGAGCTCCTAAAGTTTATCTGCTGTGGAAGGAACATACTACAGGCTGAATGATATCCAGAAGGCTTCCTCAATGTGAAAAAGACAGGAAAGACCATCTGCATACACTGTCTCAAGCTACATGCAGAAAAAGAAAGTAAATGTTGAAGTACACTGGTGGATGGAAACTTGTCTAAGAACAGTTAACAGTGATAAGGAAATCAATTCAGTCTCATCTACTGAAACTCTAATGGATCCATGGTCATTGCTTTAAAACCTGCCATGCACAGACACTTTGCTCATACCGTATGCTTCCTCAATAAGAGCGCAGTAAGGATTAATGCCGGCGCCGCTGCGCTTGGATTCCTGCTCTCCAAGCCTCAAGATGTTCTCCAGCCCACTCAGTGCCACTTGCACAATTTTTGAGTCCATTACGGTAAGGAGGTCACAGAGTGGTTTGATGCATCCCAATTCTACTAAATATCTGAAAAACATTACAAACAATTAATCAGGTTCTATGCAAACTTACAGCAGATACTGTCATTTAAGCATTTAGTGTCAAGGACTAAGAACCAAAACAATCAGATGAAATATCAACTTGATCAGAGAAAAGAGAAAAAACTACAGACAGGTATCTGTATCTTACCAATTCTGCTAAAACACTGAAAATATCATATGCATCTTCTATTTTACATATTTCTTTATGTATAATTTAATTTTCTAGCTTGTGCTTATATACATCTTTACCTGTAAGTTTTAAATGAATATTATTAATATGAACTGCATTAATTTGTTACATAAGTATTTACTTAATACAAAATCGCATGTAAGCATAACATACTAATATAAAAAACAGGAAGAACAATGCATATGATGCCTCAGTTTGCCATTGCCTCAGGGGCTTGGCCATAGGTCTCTGAGCCATTGCTCTCCAGTCTTCTAACAATTTATTACATTCTGAAATGATCACTGTGAAATAAGTTTAAATTTTAATCTTTTTTCCACAAAAGAGAAATGGCTCAATTAATGAAATTAAACATTACAGTTGAAATTCTCATGTGGTTTCTCTATACAGGAATGAATGTCTCATTCACAACTCAATCCAAAAAGGACATCTCTGTAGACAAACACTGGAGGCACAAAATTGTACACAGTGCCTGTCTGTACCAACTCTTTATAGAAAAGTCGTCCAGTTTCTAGATTACTGATTTGACTCCTTGAACAAGAACTAGTTCACCCAATTGCACTGAAATATTTGTACTATTTCATACTTGATCTGTTCAGCAGAGCCCCCAGATGTTGCATTTGTGATTGCCCAAGCTGCTTCCTTCCTTGTTCGAAACTCAGCCGTTTGCAAAATATTTATAAGAGCTGGAAAGATATGAGCATCAATGACTGTCTGCAAAAAAGAAATTACATATCAGGGTTATAACTAGAATTAGAAACAAATTCCTAGTGCTGGCTCATTTAATGTCTATGCTCAGGATGACACATTAAACAATGAAGCAAACTTCTTAATGGACAAAAATCAGCTTATAGTTTTACATTCAAAACCCAAATTATCTCTGGGTAAATGATTATTCCAAATTGAACAGATCAGGTAAAACTACCTTCATATGTAATGTGCCACTTAATTATATTTTGACAGCAAGAGAATGCCATATTTCCCTAACTTTTCCAGATAGTGAACCACTCAGCTATTAAGTCAGTAAACCACTAAGTCATTAGGATTCCCTAAAAAGAAAAAAAAGAGTTCATAAGCCTGTTTTGTATGACACTCTATTTTGATTGGATTAGACAACAGGGCAAAGAAAAAACAATTTTAGAACTAAGAATTCTGCGAAGCAAGCAAACACCAGTATGTTCATTCCTGGAAAAAAGACAAAGCTACAGATGGTTTGATACGATGCTTAACTGCATAGCCTATCAAACTCATACAAGTCAAATAATATTTAGCAGCTCAAAGTTTCTAATAACTTCCGGAAAGAATGTTCTGCAGTAAAAGACAGATGAAACCGCTTCAGTAATACACCCATGATAAAGATTTGAAACACTTCCCCAAGGATCACTAGAAGAATCAGGAGCTTAGGGTACATTTTTAAACAACTGTTTTGTAAGCACATCATCATAGAATTGGTAACAACACATTCAAAGCCAAAGAGATTCTTTGCAAGGAGCTCCATAAAGTGGAACAGACTGCATCCAGCATAAAGTTACAGACAGTTCTCTTTCTTTTACCCTTCCTGCTTATCTGGGCATCCATGCTGCATGAACTTGCAAATCCACACGTGCACAACTTTTATCAACAGTTCCATGAACAGTCTCCCTTACACAGAATGTCTGCTTCTATAAAGGAAACCCGTGGGCCACAAGTAAAAACACTGCACCAGTTTGACAACCATCACAAAACACAACTTAAAGGAATTCAACAACAGAAAGCTCTGTTTGCTAGCACTGAAAGGTTTCTTATTTGCTTTAGATTTGGCGGAAAAAGTGCTAGAAGAGTGAGAAGATTCAACATAAATCCTTTTCCACTTTCTGCACTGATAAAGGTACTAAGCACTACAATCTCCCCAAGCTTGCTGCCAAACTCCACCTTCTGAAAGGACAGTAGCAGACACTAATAATGGAATGTAAGAAACCCCGATACCGTGGTTTCATAACCCTCAAGTATGTCTCCAGGATTCACTGATCAAAGTGCAACTTCTTCGGAATCGATAATAGCATACTTTGAAGGAAAGCCTTATTTAGCATAAGCTTCAGTGTGGTGGGAAAAAAAAAATACTAATAAAGAAAATAAAGCATTAAAGGAAAAGTGCTTGCACCATCTATTATTTTAAAGCCCGTGTCTCACAGCCCTTTCTACAGTGGTTTTTCTTGAACAAGAATACACAATCTAGCTCTGACATTTTACGTGGAAACAACATTTATTCTAGAAGTAGGTCACACTTTCCTCTCAAGTACATTTATTTACGTGATAACAGAGAAACACTGAACTACTGAAATAGATATCTTTTTTCTCTTGAAGAAAAGCACACCTCAGGCAGAGCAAAACCCTTAAGGATTGTGGTAGGATGAGATCCTACAACCAAAGATTTTAAAAGTGGTAACTTGAATGACTTTTTTCCCCCTCTTACCACAGTCTGTGTCTGATATGGAAGTGTGCTGAAAACTCAAGTAATGTGGTGAGTATAAAAAAAGCGCTCAAGCTCAATACAGCTCTTAGGTAAAATGAACTGTTAAGGGACTTCAGTTCAGTAACCGGTCCTTGAAAAACCTAAGATGCTTTGGCCATTCATGAAAATAGGTGGGAAACTTCTTACTAGCTGCAAGGCTAAGGATACTTAAACATTCTTTCTGAGCAGATGATGTACAATAACTTTCTTATTTACCTATCTTCTAAGTATGTCTGAAATTTATAAAGAAATTTGGTAACAGCAGGTCAACAGAACAAAAATTTAAAGAAACACTTCGAAAGAACACATCATTTTCAGCATCTCACATGGATTTGTTTAATCCAAATTACCATTGTGCTTGAACACAAGAACAAATTATGCTAACAATCTGCTTTCAAAAGCAAACAAGAACAGATCCACAGGAAAGTAAAAACTCTTCATATTTTTTCATCTTTTTAAACTTCCCAGTTGCAGCAGTGAGTTCTAGTTTGACTCATCTGAAGGAAACAATGTGCTTGTGTGTCCTGAAGACAGCACAGTCATTTCTCTGCTATCTCTTTGATGACCTTGCTCAAAAGCCAGGAATAATCAGACCCTGCCTGTTCACCTTCTCAAATGCCACTCGTGTTTCTACAGCACTCTATCACAACTCCCTCCACTTAAACCTTACTCTACGTAGTTGCTCTTCACATGGAATCAATCTGACATTTGATAGTCTCCCTCAACATCCGTGCCCCATATATCTCCTGAAGATGGTTGTACACACAGTGCAACACCGAAGAATTATACTACAAATGAATTAGGAATTTTGTTTTGGTTTTATCCCTTTCCTTGGCATATAAAATAACTGTGTTTGATTTCAGGCTGCTACTATGCACTGAAACAGCATTTACAAGATATATTATCCGTCTGTTTTCAGCCCAATAGCTAATGCAGAGCCCATCCTTAAAACGATGAAATTAACACCAAAATTTATGCTCAACTGCATCCCTTCAGATACGCTGAAACCATTCTGACACACAACAGAATCTTGCAGAGAACTAAAATTGAATTTGAGACAAAATCTTAATTTTCAAATTTAATTTCAAACTGAATTGTAATACTCAGCCCTTCAACTAATCTGGCCCTCACTTTTAAAGAGTTTTTGTTGTGTCTTTTGTTTGTTTTTCTAAAGATGGCACTCGAGTTCTGAAAACTTCCAATAACTGCTCACCTTAGAAACATTCCATCCTTTTTATTTCTTCTGATCAAGTTTCTTCACTTGATAATAGCTTGCTTTAAAGAACAGAGCTACACAGAAGTGAATTTTTAGAGTTTTATTAGATCTGCATCAGTGTCAAACCTAACTACTTTATAGCCAATTAGGGAATAACTCTTCAGCAGTAGAGTACTATAAGTCAATACATGAACTGGACAGCACTAGCTGAATTTTCTCCTCCTCATTTGAGTTTCAACAAATAAATCGCTTATAGTACACAAAAATACACATATAGTATGCAAACATCTACACATGATTCAGCACATGCGCATGAAAGTAACCAAGTCTTACAGTGTGATTGTGTTTTCCTGCTCCTGCAAGCTGTCTCAGTAACTTTAGCAATTCAAAGATTACAGTCACTACTCTATCTGGCAACTGTGAGTACATCCTCCTCCTGCATCCTCCTCCTTCAGGCTGGAAATTTTATAGGTTTCACAGTAATTTGTGATCCAGAAAACACTTGAGATCTCAGTTCTAAATGACTTTTATGTTGTTTACACAGACACTAAGCCCATCCACTCCAAATTGTTTGTAAAGTAAACTTCTAGATTGTTTACACAAGGTTGCTACCTCTTCTCAGGAAGAACCTGCAATGTAATAACAGTACTGTGTTGAGGCGTCTGCAGCTGTGAGTCTCTTCTACAAAAAAATACAGTAACATGAACTGCTGAGGTTTTCAGACAGAATAAATGGATGAAAGGTACTCTAGATCTACTGAATTCCATACAGCATGATATATGGATTTACCACACACAGAAGCTTAAAGCAGACTTTTATTGAAACACTAATCTAAAACTCTTTCACCTCAGTTTTGCTAGTCCTCAGACAAATATGACATTCTCAGCAATACCATATCTTGCTCTTAAGTCCTGCCACTACAAAAGGAACAAAGGTTTTAGAGCATTTGTGCAAACTATGGCATGGATCAATGTAATTTATACTTACATAACTTCATAGTTTGCCTGTGTAAACAGCAACATTGTATGCAAACTACATTCTTCCTTTTCTACAGCCCCAGTCTTACTGTGGCCTTCACAAAACAATTTCTAACAATTCTCAGCTTGCATCCTCACCCAACTGATAAAAATGCATGTCATTCAGTCTATAAAACCGACACACAAGGTAGCATTTGCTACACTTCCCCACATCATATTTCAGCAAGGATAAGAAACTCCACAGAAAAATATGGCACAGATCCAGATGCTACCATGCACAGCCATACTCCATTGTTCCAGATGTTCATGTGAGAATTTAAGGCATGTAAGAAAAAAAGTGGTAAGTTTTTTTTAACCTGCCAACAGAAGAGAACTCCTATGATGTCTTCACTGTCAGATACGGAAGGTTGTACCTGGTGTACTGCCTTTCATAGCTTTTCAACAGCTGCGAAGTTAGACAACATTTTCTGAGGCATCTGATAGCCTTTCATACCCTTCAGAAGGGTCGACAGTCAGGATTTAGCTTCAGTTGTGCAGTTCTCCTTCTGATTCCCAGGAAGATGTAGTTCCCCTTCTCCCTGACTGGGGAAGCTATCCACTGAAGTACAGCAAAGCTGTATACAAACTAGGAAATTAACAAACAAAAACTATACTTAGTGACAATCAAGACTGCATCAGGATATACACATCCAACCCAAACCTTAAAAGCACAGAAATAAAGAGGGGAAAGACTGCTGTACTCTATCACACTTTTCTGTTGCCTAAACACTGTTTGATAACACACTCTGAAAGGCTTTCACTTCCACCTTTGGAGGAGAAAAACACACAAATGCAAGCCTCCTGTGTTCTAAACATTAAATACACCCAATATAGCACTTACTTCCACACACTTCATGCATGTTAACTTACATTGCCTTAACACTAGAAGAAGTTTATTGTGTTTGAGTGCAAATCTAATACAGTGATAGACTGTCGTCTTATCTTTTAGAAATGGCAGTGAAAGCCTTTGGAGTATGCTATCAAACAGCAGTATAGACAGTATGAAAGTGGAAATGAATATAGGAGTCCTTCCCTCTAACTTTATATTTCTATGTTTACGAGTGGGTGGATGGAGGGAGTGTAATCCAATGCAATCTTAAGCACTAAATATAGCTTTGTCTGTTAATACTGGTTGGATAAAATACATATTAGATTTACTAAAATATTTCATTTTCTTCTTGTTGTTCAGAAGTGATTCTTAGATTGTGGTTTGAGCAATACCCAAAATTTCCATACTATTCTAATACACTTCTCTGGAGCAATAATCCACTCATAAGAATAGATTATAAGTCACAGTAATGTTGTTTACTATATAAAGCAGGTATTCAACTTTTGGGAAAAGCTGAAATTACAGTTATTTGCTTTCTGGCTAAAGATTGTGCTTGTTCAAAGTCAGTACAGCAGAAACTGGAATAGATCTGGCTACAGTTTGCCACCTGCCACAGGAACTATCAAACAATTCAGAAGTACTGGGGAAGATGGAAAAGAAATTTAGTTTAGAGCTGCATCTAGTATTTCTTTCTATAAGGAAGATCAGTTCTCAATAAGTGATATTTTAATTCATGGCAAAGTGTAAAGTTATCTTTAAAATTAATTTCTACAAAGTAAGAATAAAGCAACTCATATGAAACAGGTTCATCCATGCACTTATTTCAATTATATGTTCTTCACAAATAGGAATTATCCCTAGTCCTCACTGCTACTGAAATCAGACAAGGATTCTACTCTCCATTTTAGCATAGGATCATCTTCAAGAATCTTTACCAATCAGCATATTCCAACTTGCAAAAAATTATTATGAAGTGTTTTTCAGCTCAAACATTTACAATGATTGACACTGACTAGAAGTTACCTGAAGCAATATCTCAGAGAAGGAATTTTGTGAGAAAAGCAGACATAACAGCTCCAGATCTGATAGGAGGTTTCATTACACCTTAAACTTCACAAGACGAAATCTCCAGTCAAACTAGACTTAGAAGAATAAGAGCTTTTCTATAACCTTCTTATACATCTATGACGAGACTTTCAGCATATGATAATCACTGCAATTACACCTGTAGTTGGCTAATTTGTACTTCCAAGATAAAATGGCCTCAAGTATTCCAGTCAAGCATGCTGTAAATATTCTGAAACAGCCCTTACTTCAGTTTTCCTCTAATAGGCCTCCTCTTGAGGTTTCAGAAATGTAAGCCTCAGGATAGATATTGCTTGCAAAATGCCACAATCACCTGGATAGTTATCTTCCACCCACGATCAGAATAACTACTTATTTCCATTTCAGTTTTATGGCTGACAGCATGGACTATATTGGCTATTCCCCTGAGACAGCCACTGTTTCACTACATAGTATTCGTTCAAAGTTCAAAGGCAGTTCAATTTGTCTGAGCAGGGACAAATGGGTTATTAAAAAAGGAACTATCAATTTCACTTCTGAGAATTTTCTTCTCACATTTTTTTCACTGGAATTGGACGCAAATACTCAACATACAGCCTTCCAATATTGTCTGTGGCACAGTCTAAGGCAGGCTATGTTATGTTTAAATTTAAACACACTTTGTGATTTGCTTTACGCTACATTTTCTTCACGATGCAAGAGTTCTGAGAAAACAAGCTTCCGTCCACACAACCACAAATATTTTTCTATGCATAGCTAAGGGTTCTTCTCTACTTCCAAATGATCGCTTGCTAGAAATGAAGGTGCAATGTTAATGACTCATGGGATTACTTCTGCCATCTCTGCCTTCTCATCTCCCTTTCCCAAGACAGAAAGCAATTCTATCCTGTTCTCAGTAGAAAGGGAACCAACCTAAACAGGCAATAAGACACCTTGAAACATTCCAAAAAAACACTACACACACAAAGATGTACCTAACAATTCTGTTTTGTTACATACGACAGATTTTGTCAGATGAAGATACTACATTATCACGTCATTGGGAAAAAAAAGTTGGGACGACAGCTTTAAAAGATAGAGTCTTACAAAAGCTGTAGTTAAGATTTCATCTAAATCCTTACTTTTGGATGTCTGAGCAGTATGTAACAGGTGTAAGACTGCTGTGCTAACAAGGACAGCCACTACTAATTGTTTCACTTGAACAGAATGATATGGAACAATGAACGTAGAAGGCACAGAAGTTATTGAATTACTGAAATAGCTTCTAGGTGTACAAATTATCTCTAAAACTTGAAAATGAAAATAGAAAATCTGGCATTTTGAAAAAATGCTCTATTAGAGAACTTTAATTTTTATTGATGCTTCAGATACTTATTTCGTTACAGAACGACTTCTGTGAACACTTTCAATTCTCGCATGCTCTCTCTTCTCCATAGTTTGCAACATTCCTACACGATTATGCATTTTGAAGTACATCTCTGACAGACTTGAGAAAAACAAATGCATTGGGTTGGACTGTTCTGCAGAACTCCTAAGCTTAGAACTCTTAAGCCTCCCAGGAGAAGTAATAACCTAGACAGAAACAGAGAGGAGCAGCACTAAGGTAGTAACTGCATGGGTAAGGCATCCAAAAGATCCTTCACTGAAAGGAAAGCAAAGGCAAAAACATTCTTTCCCTACTACAAGTAGTACTGACTACCTTCCTTGCAGTGCTAACTGTACAACAATTAAAAGTGCTGATACAGGAAGAAGCAGTGACACAGTAGCTCACTTTATACAGTTCATCTTCTTCAACATTCACCAAGTCCACAGATGTAATACATAAGCAGTAGCACAGCCAGAATCAAAATTTTTGGAGCTCTACAAAGGTTAGATGACATGACCATATCCTTTTTGCTTCAAAGAAAAATCACAAAAACATCATCTTCAGTATTAAGAGTAAAATTTTGACTAAGAAAGATAACTACAACTGCAGGTTTCTTTGCCATTGGTTCCACCTCCATTTTAGTCACATACTTGAATCAGATTAGGAAGACCTACAGTGTTTCACCTTCTGTAAGGTTTTTTTCTCTCTTCCTTGCTTTCTAAGACGAGTATCTCTTAAGTTAGATAAATACCCACACTCAATTCTAAGCATCTTAGGAGAGACTGAAAAATGTTCTTGAAAAGTCTAATCCTTATTTTCTCTTCTTTCTGAGAGGTAGATGAAGATCTCATTTGAGTCAGCAGCTGAATGTGGTTTATGAAGAAGGTATAACTTAAGAGATCATAATGACCACCTGCAAAGCAGGTATTATACTTTTTTTTTTTTAATAACAAATTTTCTACAGAAATAATTCTCTCACTTTGATGAAGAATCATAACACTTCGTGCTGACTCTGATGATACAGAACGAATAATCCAGAGATATCAGATATAAGACTAGTAAATGTTAGACTGCCTTACAAGGAAAAGTATACATTAGCAAAACTGACAAATGAAAAACATGGATATGGCCGAGTTTTTGTGCACCCATGCATTACTTCTGCCTGGTAGCAGTAGTAAAGCAGTAGTAAAAATATTTCTGATGTCTAATATTTCTGCTATCCATTTCTATTCCTCAAAGACCGGATGTCTTCAGTTGGACTTTCATGTGTCCTCAGCAATCTCCGAGAATGCTCTCTCAATCCCATGAGAAAAGCACTGAGAAATATGACTTCAGATAAATTAAATTTGATTTATGTGAGGAAATTTTCATTCAGCTTGACGGTAACCTTGTATATTTCACCAAAATCTTTTTTTGCAACATTTTTTAAAAAGGTACAAGGCATTGTCTTTGAAGCAAAAATTCCCTTAGTTTAGTTGCCCTTAAAATTCCAGATGTAGGGAAAACAAAATTTAGCAGGTTTTTCTCATTTTATAATTTAAGAAAAAAAATCTTCTCTTTAGAGAAGATGGTCAATTTTTTATACCACCTGGAACAAGTCCCAGGATTTCCTTGTGACAGCTGAACTTAAATCAAGACTGAGAACAAAGATGTGTGTTTTTGGAGGCTTACTGTAATGGCTAACACAAAGGACTGAAGCTTCCAATTGTTGTTCTGTGCTATTACATAACATGAAGGATTACAAAATTTGGTATAATCAAGAAAGACAAATCACAAAGTAAAAAGTTTAATATCCTCAATTACTGTTCAGATTAATAAAAAGCAATTTCAGATTTGGCTAGTGCACAATTGCCAGTACTAAGAATTAAAAAAGTATACAAATAGGAATAAAAAGTATTTTACAATGTAGTTCATTCATATCTGGCAGTGAAGTCAAGAAACATCAGAAGTTATTTGATTCTCAAAGTTTGTAGCTTACTCATTTCTTAGTTGAGGATTTCTGTATCTTAGACACTGCCAAATGCATGAAGGGAGTCTACCTCCCTCATAATCTGTTTAAATATTATAAAATTAAATATTCTAATTTGCATCTGAGAGATGATTGAAGCATTGAAATATTCTAATTTTGCACAGAGCCTACAACATGCTTCTGCTTCCAAGTAATTATATAACCACATAACTGTATACACACAACACAAAAAACAGTTTATCACCCGATGTCTTTTTCTAAGCCAGAAAGACAAAGATTACTGATCGTAACTGAAAAGGTTACCTGGATCTGGGCTCTGTTTCCAGCTGTTATATTAGATATTGTCCAGCAGGCTTCCTTTTTGATAGATTCTTTAGGGCTGCTTAGCAAATGCAGTAAACTCTGCAGGGCAGAACAATTTAGAATTACCTGAACACAAAAGAAAAAAGAAAAGCACATCTCAGAGGAAATACAGGATAGAGAATCACCTGGAGTAAGGAATACAAAGTCTTCAAAAGCTAGAAAGCATATGCCATCAAGATATTCCTAAAATGCTTAAAAAAAAATGAAAAATAAAAGAGAAATAAGTATAAATGTTTGTATTCCACATGGTAGCAAGCAAAAAAAAAAAAAAGAGTAGTTTAAGTAACATCAGATTTAACAGGAAATAAAATGGCTTGGGTTGGAAGAGAACTTAAAGATCACCTAGTGCCAATGGCCCTGCCATAGGCAGAGTTGCCACCTATTAGGTCCAGTTACCCAGGGTCTCATCCAACCTGGCCTTGAACACTTTCAGATGGGGCATCCACAGCTTCCCCAGGCAGTCTGCGCTAGTGCCTCACCACCCTCTGAGTAAAGAATTTCCTCCAACATAGAATCATAGAATCACCAGGGTCAACTGTCCACCTACCAACAATATTTCCCCACTAAAGCACATCCCTTAGTACCACATCTAAACGTTTATTGAACACCTCCAGGAGTTACAGGTATAGTGACTCAACTATCTCCTTGGGCAGCTGGTTCCAGCACATGACCATTCTACTAGAGAAGAAATTTTTCCTAATATCCAACCTGAACCTCCCCTGCTGCAGGTTCATGCCATTCTCTCCACTCCTATGGCTAATGATGTGAGAGAAGAGGCCAACCCCCACCTCGCTGCAGCCTCCTTTCAGGCAGTTATAGGCAGTGACGAGGTCTCCCCTGAGCCTCCCCTAGACTGAACAATCCCAGTTCCCTCAGCCACTCCCCATAAGACCTGTGCTTCAGATCCGTCACCATCTTTGTCGCCCTTCTCTGGACACGCTCAAGGGTCTCTATGTCTTTCTTGCAGTGAGGGGCCTAGAACTGTTTATAAGTTCCTTTTAAGCATCAGAAGGCCACAACGAGGTCTCCCCAGCGCCTTCTTCTTCAACCCTCCTCAGGTTGAACAAGTCCAGCTCCTCAGCTTTTTTTTTTTTTTTTTTTTTTTTTTTGCAGGATTTCTGATCTTGGAATCTGTGATCTCCCTTCTCTCTCTCCCCCTTTCTATCCCCCAACTCCTCCTTGGACTTTGGACATGTTCCTAAAATTTTTATTTAGCAAATTAAGCAGCGGGGGAAGGTTATGGTTCAGCATTTATCAGATATCTGTTGGGACAAGATTGGAATTTTTTTTCTTCACATAAACTACTTACATTTTTGGCCAACTCCAAGCACTGGCAATTATTAATTGTTCGAAATGAAATACAATGGAAAATGTACTCTGAGGATGCATCACAGAAATAGAATATTCCACACTCAAAGGGATCTACAAGGATCAGTGAGTCCAACTCCCAGATACACACACATAGAACCCGCCAAAAAAATCAGACCATATGTCTGAAAACACTGTTCAAATGCTTCTTGAACTCTGGCAGCTTAGGGCCATGACTACTGCACTGAGGAGTATGTTTCAGTACCCAACCACCTTTTGGTGATGAACCATTTCCTGACATCCAAACTGAACTTCTGTCCTTGTTTCATGCCATTCTCCTTGGTCCTGTCAACTGTCACCAGAGAGCAGAGATCAGTGCTGCCCCTTCGCTTCCCCTTGTGAGGAAGCTGTAAGGCTGTGTTGAGGTCTCCTCTTGGCCTCCTCTGCTCTGGGCTGATCGAACCACAGGACCTCAGCTGCTCCTCACATGTCGTCCCCTCCAGACCCTTCACTACCTTTGCAGCCCTCCTTTGGGCACTCTCCAATCGCTCTGTGTCCTTTTAGTACTGTGATGCTCAAAACTGCACGCATAGTGCTCGAGGAGGGGAAACACCAGTTCAGTGTAGAGTGGGACAATCACTTCCTTCAACTGGCTAGCAATGCCGTGTTGATGCACCCCTGGATATGGTTCATATTCCTGGCTGCTTGGGCACATTGTTGACTCACATTCAACTTGCTTTTGGCCAAGACTCTCAAACGCCTTTCAGCAGGGCTGCTGTCCAGCATCTCATCCCCCAGTCTACATATAGCCAGGGTTGCATCTTCCCAGGTGCAGAACCCAGCACTTGCTCTTGTTGAACTTCATGTTATTGGTGATTATCCACTCCTCTGATTTGTCTAGATCTCTCTGCAAGGCCTCTCCACCCACAATGGAGTCAACAGCCCTCATTAATTATTGTCAGCCAACTTGTCCAAAACACCTCCTTGTCCCACATCTAAGTCATTTATGAAAACATGAAAGAGAACTGGACCTAAAACTGAGGCCTGGGGAACCCTGCTAGTGACCGACCACCAGCTTGATGTAACACCATTTGTTATAATCCTTTGGGCCTAACTCATCAGCCAATTGCTCACCCACCACATTATATTTTTGTTTAGCCCTCTGGCAGATATTTTGTCCAGAAGGATACTGTGAAAAACAGTATCAAAAGCTTTACTGAAATCCAAAAAGATAACATCAACTGGCCTCCCTTAGTCAACTAAATGGGTGACCGTCTCATAAAAGGATATTGTATTAGTTAAACAGGATCTTTCCCTCATGAACTTGTGGTGGTTCTGAACAGCAACCAAATTGTCCTTCAGGTGCTTTTCAGTAACACCCAGCACAGTTTTCTTCATAATTTTACAAAGCGCTGAAGTGAGATTCACAGGCAGGCCTGTAATTACCAGGATCTTCTTTCTTGTCTTCCTTGAGAATGAGAACAACATTTGTCACCTTCCAGTCAACTGAGACCTTTCCAGATTTCCAAGATCACTGAAATTAGAGTGGTCTTAAAACAACACTGGTTAGCTGAGTACCCTGGGATTTGTTCCATTAGGTCCCACATACTTTATATGCACCTCGTGGAGTAGCAAATCCTGCACAAGTCAGAGGTTGGCTGAGAGATGATCCTTATTCATAGTCACAGTCTTCCAACTCAGAGCACCTGAGGTGCCACAGTCCATCATCAGATAGAGGCAAAGTACTCATTAGATGTCTGCTCTGTCTGGGCACCTTACAATCAAGGACATTCTCTTCAGGTTATGAACCAGTGTTACCTCTGGTCCTCCTTTTATTATTAACATGTTAAAAAAAAATATATACATTGCCCCCTACAATATTGGTCAGCTTCAACTCTAGTTCTGCTTCAATCACACAGATTGACCCTACAAAGGCGAACAGTATCCCTGAAGTATTCCCATGTTGCTTGACATTGCCTCCAGCAGCCATATAGATTATTTTTCTTGTCCAAGCTCTAAAAGATTACTTCTGTTCAGCCAAGCCAGACCTCAGCCCCATCTGCTTCACTTCCAGCATTTTAGGATTGCCGGTTTCTGTGTTCTCAGGAGATGGTACTCAAGAAGTAACCAGCACCAACAGATGTGTGCATTTGGAAGGCAGTTTCCTAGGGGACTTCACTAACTTGTTCCCTCAGCAGCCTGAAATCTGCTCTACCCATATCAAAAGTTGAGGTTTTGGAGGCAGTTCTCCTATCACCAAAGATTTTCAATTCAACTACTTAATGGTCACTATGGCCAAGAAGGCCACCATCCACCACTTCACCCATAAACCTTCTCTATTCACAAGCAACAGATCTAAGAGGGCGCACAAACCTTTTTCAGGCAGCTGGCTTGTATGCTGTTCACATATTCAGAAACGCGTTTACTGTCAAAGCTGGGCTCTTCTTTCCCCCTCACAGATCTGTTTACAGATTTTTGTGCATCTTCTGAATCCCTCTTTGTCATGTGCCATAGTCTGCATGCAAGACTTTAATTTTCCTTAGAATTTTAGGAACACTTTGGTATGCTTCTCTAAAAAAAAAAAAAAAAAAAACAAAACCAAACACCTGCATGCAGCTAAGCAGTTGAAACATTTTCTTGAAGTGAAATCAAAGATTTCACTTTATCAAATGTAGTATTTAATTATCTGCCTTACACATGACTGAGTGATCCCCTATGGTTTTATTCATTATAAAAACAAAAACAAAAAACAAACAGCTGTTTTATCAAAACGTATCTCAACCACTCTTATAACCAATCTCAAAAACAAGTCACTAAGAAAAACAGAAGAATGCCTATACAATGCAACTATACACTATGAATAAATAATATCTTAACCTCCTCCCCCAGCACTAGTTACAAAATACTCAAACAGTATCTTGCTGTTACTAAGTCATCTTCCTGTCTCATCTTGAATGTTGCAGTTCTGTGGCAGTAAATCAACATGCTAGTATAAACCAATAATTATTGAACAAGCCTTACAGTTAGGAGCTTGGATTTTAACTTTAGCATAATCTATGTGGAAGAAGTACTCTGCATGGGAAATCAGATACTACAAGTGACTTGTTTTTTTCCCAGCTCTTCATGCCATCTAAAATCCCCAGCTGCTACCACCATCACCTGGAAGCCCATCTCAACACTTCCACCACACACATCTTCCCATTTCCAGCTACCACCGCTTCCTGATCCTATTTCTGCCATCAGCTTTAATAACAGTTAACAGCCCACAACAGCAAGCCTGCCTGAGCCTGTGACTTCAATCCAATTTGCTTGTGCATTTGTCTGACAGCTCTACATCACACAGGCATGCTTTTCGTGCGTTTTAGTTTGTGAACGAGAGGTGGAGGCCAAAAGTCAGCAAAGCTTCAAAAGCAGCAGCCTACTCTGTACTTTTCTTTCACATATTACCAGATCCTGACAAAGGATGTCAGAATACACAAAGAAATGGGAAAAGTTTAACAAAAGGTACAACAGATAAAGCTCATAATAGGATTTTCTGCTCTGCATGCAAAAAAGGTTGCTATCAGTTAGTGGACACAAATAACACGTATACACGGCATGGACTCTCTGTTCCCACCAATTACAAAAATTAACAGGAGCTGCCACTTCTTGAAAAGTCTAAAAATCAATAGGTTGACAACTTTGTACCTCAAAAGCAACATATTGCTGGCTCCCAGTTTAATTCTAACACAACGGTGTGAGCCACTGCCTCTTACTTCTCCAAGCACACGCCCAGACTCTGTCACATATCATCCAAGATCTCACCACACCATATTGGTACATTCGTCACAGACTGTCACAGGCACCAAATGCAACAGGCTGTCAACAGCCCCACCACATTACATCATTCAGTATAAAATTCAGCCTAAGAGGAAGACTGCTTTAAACAAAACAGAATAGAAAAATTCAAAGAACAACACAGCTCTTTTTTTCACAGCACAGCTGTAAAAGAACTCCAGACACAGTAATACAAGAACAAATAGCAGTTCAGGAAAAGAAACTACTACATAAAGCAATTAATGTCAATCTTTCATTTTCAAACTTAAAAAGGAACAGGAAGAGGTACTTGTGAATAGGTTACATCGATATTAACAGAAAGGTGAACCAGGGTACAACACACAAAGAAGTGAATCCATACCTGGGTCTGGATATCATCTCCTGTGACAATGTTCCCAACAGCTCGTAAGGCAGGAGATACTACTTTATAGTCATTATGCCTAAAATTACCAAGATTGAGATGTTAACCATCTTGAATCATCTTCATCTTCACATCCTCAAGGAAGAAACATTTGCAAGGGAAAAATTTGCCAGCTAAGTCTGTCTTAGCTACAATTATCTGAATCAAATGACTTTTGATTTTAAATTAATGGCAACTCGTTCTAGAGTTCATAACTTTTAGGCCCTAAGATACCATTCAGCAACATAAAAACTGAAATATGAGATTACTATAATACAAGTACCTCACAGTACAGGCATCTTAGGGAGCAGAAAAATCAACTTCAAGGATGGAACATGCTTAACATAGCATGCACAAAGGCAGATAATGAGACAGAAGAACACTGGCAGAAGCGCTGCGTTTAACTCAAGCGCATCTTCATCCAGCCATTTAATCATATTCTATCATTAAATGTATTTGCACTGTATCTCCCCATTATCGTTATTAAAATCAGAACAGGAAAAGTAAATAATTTTTTCAGAAATTAAAGTACTTAATAAAAAGGTACTTTAAGTAATACATTCTATTCAATAATTCAGTAGACTGCTTTTTCGAATAGCCTCTTGAATTTACACCACAGAAAACTATTGTTTCTTGTTCTTCTGTAAATTTTACAAAAAAGTAGTTGCTGCATGTTGAAAAAACAGCACAGGAAAAGCTCCACTGTTCCTGTTACTTATGACAACAGAAAGGACTGATTAAAGACAGGATAAGTTATAAAATTCAGGTTGTTTTGGTTTTTAGAAAATAAACAGATTAAGATATATCTAATTGTGCCTTCTGATGCAAGAACCATGATTTTAGGGAAAGGATTGAGTAATACATTTATTCAGAACAAACTTCTTACATCAGCAATTCCACAAGTCTTCTGCAGACTCCTGCATCAATCACAGCCTGGATTTTATCATTGGGGCCATCAGACAAATAGGACAAAGCCCAGCAGGCATCAGCTAATACATCTGTATCATTGACAAAGAGCAGCCAGGAGAGCACACTAAGACAAGGTGAAACCTGTAAAACAATAAAAGAGATGCACAAATTATGCAATCAAAAGGACTGGAATACTTATTAACACGTCAGTTAATTCTGTATGCATCATTACAAAACCACACACTAGCATCACAATCCTGAATACCTGGCAAACTTCGAACTTCAGCAGCACCTTGGTGTAGGCCTGCAACTACACTAGCAGAGAGGAACAAACCAGCAGAAAAGCACCTAGAATTCTTCAGCCTCTACAGTATCATCCATGCCTGGAAACTTAACCTCAAACATCTCCATCAAGACATGCCATTTTTCACTAAAGAAGCCAAGATGCACAGTTTTGCTCTACTGCATAATGACATTAACAAATAACCAGGAGGCAGCAATATCAAAACAATGGTTGTGAATGTCTGCCAAAAGAACAAGAAAACATTCAGAAGCTTAATTTGCAATAAGCACACCATTGTTTCAGAGAAATTCAGAAACATTTCTGCTATGTAGTTTAAGCTTAACCATTCTTATTTCTTACTTGGAAATCTACACCTCACAACACATTTCCTTAGAATGAACACATTTCTTACCTTGGCAAAATCTGGAGGAGGATTTTTCCCTCTGCAGAGATTGGATAGAGCCCATACAGCATTTCGGGTCATAGTGATACGATTCTGTTTTGAAAGTAATCTAAAACAAACAAATCCCAAGCTTCACTAATGCATATTCAAAGCCAGGCAACTTAGTATGGCTAGCTGTGATTCACACACATGAACTCAGGCCTACATTTTAACCAATATCAGGGGAAAACATGCTAAAATCCTGAGGAAGCTAAGATCCTGAGGAAAATTACATTTGACAGATAGATACTAGCGTTCACATTAAATGTGTTAAACCTGGTATCCCAACAATAACCACCACACTATAAGAACATTCATTTAACTTTCTAGAGACTGTTGTGGTAGATTTGCATGTCAATTCTCAGCCCATCAACACGTTTTTCTGTGTTAAGCTTTCTAGAACAGAATTTAACCTCAGAAAACACATATAATCACATTTAAGGCTGCCCAAATATTTACAGCAGTCTGGCAGCAACCACAGCCCAGACTTACTGTGCACTGTTGTTCATCCCTGCAGGAGTTTTAACCACTGTGTTCATGTAGGAAGAAATCTCTATAAACCATCCCAAACTGGTCTCTTTCTGAAGTTCTTACAAGATGACACACACACCATATAAAGGATTCAGCTTCTGCTGCATGAGACTCAGGAAGGACAACGGTGTAACATACTCTGTCTTCATGATATCTGTGTGCTACAGGACTACCACATCAGCCAAAGCTGCTTCAGTCTCTGGTACACTGTGCATTTCTTTATCTGAGATTAATCCTAGCACTGCTGCTCGTTAGTTAAGTCAAATACAGCATGAAGTCTATATAGAGCACTTTCTGGACGGCTTAGAAAAAAACTAGCCAAGAACTCCACAGAAAATTTTGATTATCAGAACATTCTCTCATGATGCCTTCGTCAAATACTGCAACAAGTTGTCCAGGGTGGTTATGAAATCTACCTCTGATGTTCCAAATTTGACTATGTAAGTGGCTGAGCAATTCTGATCACATCTGCTATGAAAAGAGGGCTTGACTAGACAACCTCCAGAGGTCGCTTCCAACTTAAATTACCCTACAATTCTCATTAGTTCCAGGCATCCACCCACTGTGTAGAACAAAATAGCTCCAGCTTAGCTGGTCTTAACACAATTCCTTTTTAGTCAGTTACAAAATAAGCCCTCAAAAATAAGCCTAATTAGTCCACAAAAATAAATAATTATTTTTCAGGGCAAAACAAACTTCAGTCTTATCAGACACTTGAGTAATATTCTGAAGAATGTATTAAAACAGACTTACTGCAGTAAGGGAGGCAAAATATTACAGTCCAGTACATAGTCTCTGCACATTGTGCTGTCTCCAGCAATGTTGCCAAGAGCCCATACTGCCTGCAATAAAAACAGAACGGTAATTGTTTTCATTTGCACAATTCAAACCATTCAGTATGTGAATTAAAAATGGGAAATCATCTCTGTTCTCACCGTTTTATCCTGGACAATATACAAAAGGGGAATGCATTCTGGTTAAGAGTTGCAAATATACACCCAAGCTCATGACATGATTCAGGAATATTTACACAGGTCTAAGTACCCAAGCAGTCAACAGGTATGTCACCAAAGACTGCAGGCAGACAACCTTACTCTGTCCACAACAAGAGCTCCTCACCTTAGGCTCAGTACTGCACTAATTGTACACGCCCCCTGGTTCAAGTCCAGATGGTTCATAGCACACGTCAAGCAGGTTTGTATCTACCCAAAAATGTGTACAACAGCTCATATTAGTATTTCCTAGGAAGCCATAAAAGCATGCATTGTTTACACAATCACATTAAGAACACTGATAACAAGAAAGATGGAAAAGATGATTTAAATACAAAATAAAGCAATATTCAAAATAAAAAAGTTCAGATGGACATTGTTATATTTTTTAAAAGAAAGCAAAACAGAACCAGTATTGACTATTTAAATATATGCATGACAAAATGCAAGGACAACTGTTTACTCCCCTGGGCGTCACTGTTACCCTAACCCTTCATTTTGAGGAATAAGATACAAAATAACACAAGATAATTGAAAAAGCATGAAAACTATCTTCCATAATACCAGAATGAAAGAGTTCATTAACTTTGATTAAAACACTGAGGTCAAAAGTTTTTTTTTTTTATATCACTTTCTATTAGTGTGAGAACTGTAACTGAGAAGAGTTTAAAGAAAACAGTCTGTACCAGCAGAATGTTTCACAGACATTTTATCATACAAGAAAGAATATGAAACTGACATTTTGTATTTATTTTAAGTTAGCAGAAGGCTAAATGACAAATGAAATAGAATACCTTCTTATTAGGTAAGAACTATACAAAAAAAAAAAAAATCTACACAACCACTGGACCTATCATGAATAGAAGCAGTTAAAAGTTTCTAAAAAGCAGCAAGAGATGCTACTCCACAACTTCTCTTCCAGCCTCTGAAGTCCTCCCCCCAGTCACTCTAAAGGCCCAAAAGATATTCTCTAAAAAATAAAAATAAAAATTAATACAGCTAAAACAAAATAAAATGTATTAAAAAAATCCATCCATACATATTTACCTACATTTTGTTATCTGCTAGGTACACAAAGGATTTCTCCACAATAGTACAATAGATAGATGTATCAACTGATAGATCATAAGTCCCTAACCTACAAGTTGTTAGAGACTAGGAGACTACTCTTGGGAAGGATTTGCTTTGTCCTCCTACTATTTCCCAGCTTTTGCTGTCAGCCACGGTTAGAATACCAAATCATACTCAGCTTTGCAATGACCTTCGTCACTACTAATTCTGTGTGTCCCTCTAAAGCTAATCAAGACAGCTTATCTTCCATTCCAATTGTTACTGTTTTACAACTGCTCCAACAACAGTATGTCTAAAACTGAAGTGTAATTTGGGTCTGGCAGCCTCATAGATTCAACATGCAAAAGACAGCTAAAAGAAAAAAATTAACTTAGGAGACAGAACATACACCAGCTCCCCTAAAAATTCATTTGTATTAAAACTCTAAGAAGACATGCCTGTTGCTCACTGCAATGCTTTTACTTGTGCAGTAATGGGACTCCTTAGGCACAAATAAAAAATTTCATCTGGCCCTATCTATACAAATTTGTGAATCTTGGTAAAAACACTGATGGGAAGGAAGATGGCATCCTTGTGCAAAGATACAACCTCCTTTTCTGGACAGTCTTACACCTACTGGACAGCCTACCTTGGAGGCTGTATCTCACTGTCTGTGACCTTGCTTCTGTCAAAGTAATACTTGATTTAATTTAACAACAGCAATAATCACTTAATACAAATGTCTATTCTGACCTTGAAAGACAGACTGGTTTTCTAACTGCAAAGCTCTCAATCTCTCATTAGAAAGTCAAGCCAGAGAAGTCATAAAGCATCTTTGCTGTTTTCCTACTCTTGATTTTGAAGGGCAGAGAAGTCTCAGTAAGCTGATATCACAAGAGCTGGTAACAATGTTGGAAGAAATTCTAACATTAATGACTGGTAGCTCTGGATCGTACAAAAGACGAAAAGAAATTGAAGTATCTTTAGCCAAAGTACGCAGAGTTACGTTCAAATATTTTTCCTCGAGGAATCGTTTCAAGTTTTCTGATAAATAAGGGATATAAGTTCATTCAAACTTCTCTCAGCAGACACTGCCGTAAGGCACAAATCTTTCTTGTGGTTTCCACAAAAACACGAGAACAGTGACAAGTGTCTTCAGCTTTTTTGTCTGAATAATATTCAGTAATTTTCATTGACGACTTTCATGCAGTCATCAAGATGCAAAAATCTTGCTTACCTTTACATTATGGTTTCATTCCATACATCCCAAATCATAGAATTGCTCAAGTTGGAAAAGACCTTAAAGATCATCAAGTTCAACCATGACCTAACCATTCTACTGTAATTCTAACAAGTCACCCCTAAATCAGGTTCCTGAGTACCACATCCAAACAGTTTTTAAACACATCCAAGAATGGTGACTCAACCACCTCCCTGGGGAGCCTATTCCAGTGCTTAAAAACCCTTTCTGCAAAGAAATGTTCCAGGGTAGGTTTAGGTTGAATATCAGGAAACAACTTGAAGCCATTTCCCCTCGTCCTGTCACCTGTTACAAGTGAGAAGAGACCAACTCCACTCTCACTGCAATTACCTTTCAGATATCGCAAGACAGCAATAACATCTCCCCTCACCCTCCTCTTCCCCAGACTAATCAGCCCCAGTTCCTTCAGTCACTCCTCGTAGGACATATTCTCCAAGCCCTTCAACAAGCCTTGTGAAGCAAATCTTTGTTTGTTTTTTTAATCATCTTTTTTAGATAGCTGCCAAGGTTAAAGGATATTTAATTCCAGTGATCTCAAGAGTTTACTATTTAAAATATCAAGCTTGAAAAAATAAAATTAATTTCAATACTTTATTCGCACCAAAACTCAGAGATGAAAAGAACCTATAACTTAAAGGTCTGTACATCTTTAACTAATATCAAGTTGTGTATAAACTGAAAATACAAATGGTGCATGTCAACTGACAAGTGTATATTTTTACAGAGCTGCATAAATTTCCATATACTGCTCATGATCAAACATGGTTTTTTTGCAAGTCTCCGCTTTATTTTACCTGCTTTTAAACTCTAGAAGTTTCACATGCAATACTGGACAATGTTAATAGTCAATAACAGTACAATGCTAGTTTTATAGAGTAAAGTTGATCTATACGATGCATTCTGTGAATAATACATACGCTTTCTGACAACTCTTCCACTTTCCTCTAGACTTTGATAGCTCTCAGCCATGCATTTAAGTATTTGAATATTTAAATCAAGCCACAAGCCAACCACCAATAGCGCATTAAGTTTGTACCTCTCTGTGGAACAGGAACATTCTGAATTAAGAATCAACACTTTTTCCACTTCCAGATGTTGACTTGCAAAACAGATCTAACGCTGGGATGAAGGCAGCGAAAATGAGCCCTGCATACATACACAACTGGACTAGTGGACACAAGGAGGGATACCTGAGGGAGGAATCCCTAGAGATGATTTCTATTACATTCCAACACAGAAGAAACCTTCCTTTCAGCAGCCAGGTTGTTCCAACTTTATTACTAGCATCTCTTCCAACCAGACAGAGAAAGTATTTCATACTCATGCCTCGACTGGATTGCTGGTTTTTCTTGCCCTCATTTTGAATAAGGACCTAAGTTAGCAGGGGGTGCTGACGTATAAGCCAGAGAACAGTAGATACCAGATTCATAGGTCACTTCTGTTAAATAAATGCTGTTTTAACAGCAATACAGATAGGAATGGAAGAACACTGAGGGAAAAACAAATTGTTGCTTTAGCTGGAATTAATAATCTGAAACCATTTCACATCTTTTTTTCCAACCGAAGAAACTGAAATTGTGACAGAGGCTACATCTCCATTATTTATAAAAAATTACTGATTACATCTCTGTCCTTCCTGCTTTTCTCAACTTCTGTTATACAGTTGGAAACATCTGCAAAGAAGAGAACAGGGCAACAAATGTATGTTCCTGCCACCGGCTACCCTTCAGATACAGAGCAGAATGACACATCTGTAACTGTGAGATATGCAGGTTTTAAACCTGGAAGGTAGAAATTTGCCCAGTTTTTGAAGGAAATTCTATGCATGTCCAGAAAATTCAAAATAACACCCAGGTTTTAAATACTGCAGCGCACACAGGATAGAACTGCAGCTAAAACATTGCTGAAGCTAAATCAACATTAAGCATTTCTACAGAGCCTTGATGAAATCCCTCAATACAAATAATTTCAGGATGGCTTTTCTAATTTTCAAGATGCATTTTGGAAGGAAAAAAAATGGGAGAAGCAGAAGAAGGTTAGAACATTTGCCATTAACTAAATTTAAATAACTGTATAACAGAAATTGATTACATCTTTGTACCTCCCTGCTTTTCTCAATAATTTTTTATAAATAATGGAGATGCAGCCTCTGTCACAATTTCAATTTCTTCAGTGGGAAGAAAAAAAAAAAAAGATGTGACACGGTTTCAGATCACTAATTACCAGGAAATACCTGAGAAAGGCTGATATACAAAGCAAAAGCCGGTAGGAATGGCTGACACACCAGAAGACTGTGCTGCCATTGAGCAAGACCTGGACAGCCTGGAGCGCTGGGCAGAGAGGAACCACACGAGGTTTAAGTGCAGTCTTGCATCTACCACACGTACCAGTACAGGCTGGGGGATGACCCACTGGAGAGGAGCTCCGCGGAGAGGGACCCGGGTGTCCTGGCGAACAACAGGTTAGCGATGAGCCAGAAGTGTGCCCTGATGGCCAAGAAGGCCAATGGCATCCTGGGGGTGTATCAAAAAAAAGCGTGACCAGAAGTCAAGGGAGGTGATCCTCCCTTTCTGTTCTGCTCTGGTCAGGCCTCACCTGAAGTACTGTATCCAGTTCTGGGCTCCCCAGTACAAAAAAGACAGGGCTCTCCTGGAAATAGTCCAACAGAGGGTCACAAAGACTATAAATGGCCTGGAGCACCTCTCCTGTGAGGAAAGGCTGAGCTACCTGGGTTTGTTCAGCCCTGAGAAAAGATGACTGAGAGGGGATCTGATCAACATCTATAAATACCTAAGGTACAAACGGATAAAGCCAGACTCTTTGCAGCAGTACATGGTGATAAGACAAGGAGAAATGTCTACAAACTGAAGCACAGGAATTTCTGCACAAACGTGCTAAGAACTTCTTCACAAGGAGGATGACAGAGCACTGGAACAGGCTGCCCAGAGAGGTTGTGGATTCTTCTTTTCTGGAAATTAAATTCAAGACCTGCATGGATGCCTACATGCGCAGCCTGCAGTAAGGAGCCTGCTTTGGCAGGAGGCTTGGATTTGATGATCTCTAGAGGTCCCTCTCAACCCCTACAATCGTGTGCTTGTGTGAAAATGAAATAACAGAGTTAAGGGATAGGATAATTAAATTTCAGCCACCTTAGCTTAATGGGAAACACCTTGGAAAAAGACAAGATACAATTTCATTAAAATACACATTGTTCAATGAAGATCCTCAGTCTCCTATAAAATCAGCCATTTAGTACCACACCAAAAACTCGCATATGCAAAAAAAAGTCCAATACATTAGATTAAGACAGGCTCAAAAGAAAGAACTGCTGAAAGAATCATAACGAAAACTGTTACGTGTTCCTGAGTCACTAATATGAGAAGATTTAAATAAAAAGTGCAAGACAAAAACTGTATAATGATTAGCCAGTATGTCAAATTGAAATAAAAAATATGATTTTCAATTTATACTATGATACATACTCAAAATTATATTACTACTTACATTTCCTTCCACAAAATTACTACACCACTTAGCACAAAGAATGATCAACGTAACACAACCTTCAGTGTTACTTTTTCTCTTTTACACTCTGTGTTATGTTAGTATGGCTAGATTCTGGCCTACATGCTCTACACATGATTTCCTGTATTTTCTTGGGAAGTTACAATTTGTTGCAACTGCAGAAAGAGTTGCTTGCACTACTGTGAAAAGATACAAATCACCAGAGCAGAATTACAGAGGAGAAAACTTATGGCTAAAATGATTAAATACCCTGCAATAGCCGAATTTCAGCCTGATACTTGGAATCGAATATGTTCAAATATGCATTGCCTAGAACTACAAAACAAAATGCAATAACTCACATTGAGAATTAAAAAAAAAAAAAAAAAAAAAAAAAACCACAAAAAACAAGTACCCCACTTAAAAAAACAGATCAATTTTTCAGCATTAGACACTAAGAGTAGATGCTTTTACCTCAAGCCTACAACAACCTTAATATGAATCTCTGCTTTTCTTCCATTCACTACAATACGAACCAACTTCAACAAACAGTGCCCTAGTGTGATAATTAAAAGCCTCCTTCACTACCCACTGATTTCTAACTAGGGCAACAATATGCTGAACAAGATGAGAGTCATTTGGATAAATACTCTAATTGTGTACTTAAAGCAACCCTGTAATATAGGAGTACGACAGCTAACATTTATGTGCTTAATGCCTTCTATTTTTATTAGATATTACAGTGAAGCATTCATTTTTCTTCTTAAAAGCTGCCAGAAAAAAAAATTCAAGCTGGCCTGCATTAAACTCAAAGTGAGCAGTCAGAAAGTTGCAACTTCTACACCTGCAGCACATTACGTAAGGCACAGGTAACATCACTGTGGTATACTTTCCTACATCAGCACAGCTTACCACAAGACAATTTGCCACTGGTAGTTACAGACTTGCTGATAACAGACAAATCATGGACGCACTGTACATAAATGCATTTTCCAGTAGCTACAATCAAGTCTACATGACTCCAGTATGAATTTAACCTGCCAGCAGTTTATTGGAGGCGAAGCAGATAGAATACAGATAAACTGCTTATCTGTGATCCCTTAGCTCCTCTGTTAATTCACACACAGGGGCTGAAAGCAGCACAACTCCTTCTAAAGCAGGCTGGTTCTTCCTGCACACTTCTCTGAACATTACCAAGAATGACCTAAAAACCTAATAAAAAAGTTCACTCTTACATAGGAGGTCGCGGGCTGTAAAATAATGCAGTATCCCTTACTACCTTTAGTGTACCAATTATCCTTCAGGAATAGCACCTCAGAAGTGGTAGATGAATTCAGAAGATATTGCCGTCAATTTCAACCTCCTCCAAAACACAAACTCTAAAAAGCAGTTTGGACATCATATAGCTGAATCTGGATAGATTTTTACATGGGCACAACATGGCATCTCTCTGCTATTTTGGCAAGATTAATATCACATTTCTAATTTCTTCAAAAATAGACTCATTTCCTCAAATTAAAAAAAAAAAAAAACTTATATCCTTGAATACAATTTTCTGAGGCACCCAAACTCTCTTAAAAAGCCTTTGCCAAAATTATTCCGCATGAGAGAGGCCACTGAAAATGGAAAGTTGCAGAGTGGAAAGCTACAAGCAACTTGAAGAAATGTGTCTTTCTTGTGGAAAACATTACACAGTCTTAAATACGAGTGGCTCATTCTGTGCCAGCTATAAGATAGAAAGGTAAGTTACATAAAGCGATTCAATGCTTATGAGTTGGACTCCTCCAATCATGCATCTCAATACAGCCAAATGCAAGGTCAGACATCTAGGAGAGAGAATAGAGGGCACACTTACAGGATGGAGAACTGAGCCCTGGAAGTCAGTGACTCTGAAAAGAACAACGAATCATATTGGATAATCAGCTTAACTTGAGCTCTCAGCAAGCTTCGGTGGAAAAGAGTCCTCAAAGACATCTTGAATACTCACGCAGGGAAGAATCAAGTAGAAATGAGTATTGGGTACTACCTCTACAAACAGCATTGCTGGAACAGTACTACTTGTTATTTCACCATCACAAAAAGTTATTGAAACAAAGAAGTGTTCAGAAAAGGATCACCAAGAAAATTTAAAAAGCTAAAGAAATATCCATAGTAAGAATTCAGAGTTCAATTTCATTTGCTCAAGAAAAGATTAAGCTATCATCTGTAATTAACTATAAGAAAAAAAAAGAGAGCTTACTGAGTAGACAGTGATACAAGAGCTAACACCTGGGCCCAAAGCTAATCAAATTTGTATAGTAGAGGTACAAACATTAAAGTTAGGATTATGCATTACAGAAATTAGCATGATTGATATTTTACCATCCTAAGTCTTCAAAGCAAGACTAGACATCTTTTTAAAATACAACCTTGTTCAAACACAACTTACTGCCCTGGAGCAGAAATTACTGAGTCTGTACGAATCTAATGTTTGGTCTGTTCTTTACACTGATCTCTCTGGGCCTTAAAGAATATTAATTTACTTGTAAGAAAGGCATTCAAGTAGAATTTATGGACAGAGATTGCATTTATTCTTCTACTTCATCATTTACAAAAACCAGCTTACTAAGTAACATTACTTCCCTATCTCTTTAATTCAACATCCAACAGACCTACAGCACTCTTGATCGCACTTTTGCTTCCTTTTCCTTTATTTTTAGAGAACAACCTATAATTTCCACGCATGCTTTATCTTCAGGAGAACCCTGAAGACTTTCTACCTCTGAAGTATTTTTTTAAAACAAGGTTTCTTGAATTCCTCAGCAAGCAGACAAGTATTAATTCACTAAAGATCAAAACACACTACCACCCTGGCTGTGGTTAAATGTATCATTTCCAGAACAACCGAAAAACAGTACTTGCACCCTAACACATACTAGGGAGAAAGACTTATGCTGAACTGCCAGACATTACACTTCCTCTAAAGTCACAAGACTTTCTTATAGAATAGCCTTGTACTTTTATGTTAAAAAAAAACAAAACCACCATTCTTAATCTTTACCTGTTCCTGTACATCTTCAAACTCTGAACTAAGCAGCTCTATGAAGATGGGAACAGCTCCTGCTTGGATCACTATTCGAGTCTGAAGGGAATTCCCCGAGGCAATATTTGTCAGCACCCAGGCAGCTTCAAACTGGAAAACAAAATACAGAAGAAAGTTTACCAGGAGCCTCCTGTGTCAGATGAAAAACAATGACAATGTGTAGTAAAAATAGAAAGAACTGGTGAAGATAAAGCTACTAATTAAAACAGAAGCTGAAAAGCAAGAATCAGAGTTAAAAGTTATCATGACGACATGAACTCAGAATTTGCAAAAATTCCATACAGCAGCAAGATCAGATTCACTGTGGCTTCTCAAATCCTACTTTTGTCACACATTTACTATCTTTTGTCTGTTAAAGAAAAAAAAATTAAAAGGCACATCTTAGTATTTATTTGGTGTATTTGTTTGGTATATTCTTGAAGATTTTTGTCATCATCACGTAAGAAAAATTTAGTTATTTGTGTATGGTTTAAATGATCATAGGGAAGAGTGCAGCTTTTTTAAACCTGAAAATCACTTAAGAAAAAAAATGTGTACAGGGCAATTCCAGACAAATATGGCCTTCCTATCACTGATATTGGTAATTCATTTTTTACTGGATATTCCGCTAACAGTACAGTAGAAACCTACAGAATAAAGACATACAATTTCATGTTCACCAACACAGAGTAGCTTCCACATTCAATCCATCATACAAGTAATATCTGGCCAAAAAAAATAATTCAGCATTTCATGAATGAGTTGAAAGTGCCTTCCTTCTACAACTAGTCTGAAGTCAGGAATACCTAGAATGGAATGTCCAAAATTTTTGCTCATGCCACATCACTGGCAACAAGGACAGAATAAAAGAACATTAAACTGGACAGAATAAAAACCTACACCTACAGACTGTGAGCTGAGAAAACAATGAGATAGATTTGGTAAGAAGAAGAACAATATATTTTCACAGCTTTGTTATAAACTCTTTAGGTCAAACCTACACATTTCAACATAAAGTGCTTCTTTGATGTTCTTTGCACATTACAAAAAAAAGTCAACAAAATGTATGTTGTACCAGTAAGGGCAGAAGAATTTGACTCAGCTTACAATTACTTTTAAAATATTTTAAACCAGAGAAAAATCCTCCAGCTTCATTTTCCCTTCCCCATCTTCTGTCCACCAAACATTATTCAATTTTTCCCTTTATCTTTGGCTTCCATGCTAGAAATCCTGTAAATAATAAAGGCATCCCAGAAGAAAGCCCAGAAGAAAGATCACCAGGCATGGATAGCTAGCGAGAAGATTTAATTCTAAGGACTAAGTCCAAAACACATTAATTAAAATTGTAGCAGATATGATTTAGTTCTTCCAACCAAAGCAAGCAAGTTTCAGGGTATCTCTGTTTTGTTTTTTCTTAATGTTCAACTCTAATTCTAAACCTCTTAGAATTTAATCAAAACTTTATGTCATAATTCTGAACACTGAAAACAGTCTTCAGTTAGTACAAAAGTTGACAAACAGTACAGTTAAGTTTAACAGCTTTTCATCCTTTAAGGCCACCTTTCAAACTGTTTTTGTTACACAGAGAAGTCCAGGTAAACATTCCATGTTAAACACCATCCAACAAAACTCAGATTTCTCTCATTCTCTCCTAGGCCCAGCAATTGAGCTTATTATTAAGAAGCCTTCATAGTAAAATAGGTAAAATAAACGTCTTATCCTTATAAAGAAAAGCACAGCTCACAAAAAAAAAAAAGTGATGACATTTTCTGTCTTATTTGCATCACCAAAAGCTTCATAATACAGAAAGCTAGATACATTTATGTTTGTATACCTGTAATGTGCAGTTTTCTTTCCGTTTGAGGAACTCCACAAATCTTGCCACCACACCTGGTGTGCTTATGACTTCATCTATTGGAGGATTTGGTTCTATTTAAAACAAAATGGAAAGTTAAGACGCATTCATTTATTTGTTGGGGGAATTTCCTAAAATAACAGCACCAAAGTAATACCCAATGAAACGCTGATTTTTCTGAGAGTCTTATTTTCTGTTATACTTCTTTGTCTACCTTTTCCACTAAAAGGCAATGAATTCATCAAAAGGAAGACTCAATTTTAAATTCTGAAGTATTGCTGTAACATCATTTAACAGTTATGCACTCATTAACCTGAGTATAAAAACTTGACAGCAGAAGATCTGCAAAGTCACCTCGGTGCACATATGCACACAGCTCAACTTCCAAAAAGAAAGAATAATTTGTGAGCCACGGAGACGCTGACTAAAATGCTTAAATGTACATTACATATCAGAAATTGCACCTACATCATTAAAAGCTGTACAGGTTTCACAAACAGAATTGACTGTTAGATACACCTAGTTGGCACGCTGCAAGACAATTCTGCTTGGACCAGAAATTTCCACGTGGAACTTGATTTACACTGCTGTTAAAGTCAAAATACATGCCAAGGACCACCCAAGATTTTTCTAGAAGAAAATTCAGCCCTTACCTTTAGAAAGAAGCTTTCGGAATTTCTGAGTAGCTGACAGCTGCTGTTCTGGACTATTGGAGAAAATCATCTCGATCATATCAGAGGTGATAACAGCACTCTAGTATTCAGGTGGGGGGAGACAGAACAAGAGTGGCAGAGAGCAAGAGGAAAAGAAAATTGAGAGTTATTGGGGAACGTTTATAATACTGGCTAAAACTGTCAATATTTTACCCTTATAGAGCAAAAAGTCAGATAAGAATAACAACAACTGGGTCATCACTGATTCTGCTTATGTAGCTGTGCATCTTTCTTAAGTATTGTCTTTTTCCTAGAAGACAAAATGCAGAATTTTTATAAGCTATGATAAAAAAAATTGTGTTCAGAAACTCTCACAGGTATTTTCTCTCCTTTTTTTCCTATCTCCCATCCTATAAAATAACTATAAAATTGTCAACTTTAACAAAAGGTAGCTTAAATTAGAATAGCAATTACAGTTACACAAGAATACTGATTATGGTGTTGTTTAGACACCTGCAACATCTATGTTTTAGGTTACTCTTATAACAAAATATACAAGAACTGTTTTTCTTTTTAAGCACTGACAAACCTAATGCTTGTTATCATAATCAAATATAGCATTTATTTTCCCACAATACAGACAGTTTCCATTCATATGGCTAAACTAATCAGTAATGTTTTTTTCATGACAGGGAAAATCTGACATTGTTTGATTTGACTCATCTAAATCCATGAAAAGACATCTAAATGATGTTGTATTTTTTTCCTCTCTTTTTGATCCAAAACATTACAGTGGTCAGATCCAAATCCTCAATAAACAGGAAAACAGACAATAGTGCTGAAATATTTACACTGTCTGTACTTGTGCTCTCAGTAACAAAATGCAGGCAGTCTAGATTTTTGTCACCAGAACCAATAAAAGGGAATCAAAACATGCACCACTTTTTAGATCCTTCTTTTTCAGTACTAACTCTTAAGACACTCAAATTAATACTTACAATACTAACCTGTATGTATAAGACAGGCTTTCCTTACTTTTCACTGTCCCTTTATTTTATATAAAGCTCTACACAAAGAATTAAACAGTATTTAGGATTCATCTGATGTTTTAGGACTACCTTGAAGAATAACCTATTTTCCATTAGTTAACTTTAACATTGTTTATAGGCATTTCTGAGTAATTTTCATTGCCTAACCATCACTAGAAATTAAAAGTAGACTGATTTCCTTCAAAATATAATCTGAACACAAGAACAAGCATGAAGATCAGTGGTCAGACTTTAGGACTCTGTGAAGATTGTATTTTAATTTATTCTCTCTGCTATAGCTGGAGTCCCATACATTTTTCTTTCCACATACAGGAGCATTATAAAGAAACGGTGAGAATGCAGAAAAGCCTAATTTCCATCAGAAGAAAGTTTTCCCATGGGATAAAATTCCAGCTTGGAATGGAGTTCAAGGACATTTGCAGATAGCTAGGCAGGTTTAGTTATGTTTCCAACACCCTGGTTAAAATTTTATTACTTGAAAATTTATTAACAGACTTTCAGCCAGTCTCTTTTTATTTACTCTTTACTCCCATAAAGTTTTCCTCCCATAATCTGTTTCCGGTCACTTCACTGAAACATGTGTCTGAGTAATTCAGAGTTGTCTGAATGCTCTTTGAATGCCACTTTCTGCAATTCTGATCCCTTCAACTCACTGTGATAGGCCCGCTCAGTTTCAACAAACAATATTTCTTCCTCAACACTTACAGAAGTCATTTCCATGTTGTTCATTTGAGCCTCATGGAAGCCACCATCAGACATTACTTCCTCCTCCGCTTCCTCTTCAGCTGTTGCGACATTTCGGCGTTTAAATAACTAAAGAGAAAAAAGCATTTAATAAAAGCACTACAGAATCAAGAGCCAACATACATATCTCACACGCCATATCAGACTGTAAGAAAAATGATAATTAGCATCTCCTGAGAAAAGCTAGAATACTGACACTGTGACTCCTCTGGACAGTAAACAGGCACAGTTTAGTAACAGATGAAATGAACATGGCTGTGTGCTAGAATATTCATTTGACATTTCTGAAATGTCTTCACTGATACTCCCTCCTTTTCTCTACTGCTCACCCTCCATCTATCAGCTACCTCTAGCTTCAAGACAATTGCTTTCCTCCCTTCCCCAAGATGAGCAGGGGCTCAAAGACACAACAAATTCCTGTGTATAACTGATCCCTGTAGAATACTTACTGAGACTGGAATAACTAAGTTACTGTGGCAGAGTGGACTTTGGGGGATAATCACTTAAGAATGGTTTAAGAAACTGGGATGAACAAAATTTGGACGCTATGGCATAAAGGAGGTAGCCAGTTTGAGATGTTATTAGGAGAGCTACAGAGACTACAGTTTCTCCCTTGAGCTAGCTATCTAACTGCAAGAAATAACAGCAGTGATGAGTAGGGTTAGAGTGTGCTGCTTGGCCTGTCAAGTTCCCTAACGACTCCAGCACTGAACCATGTCAGATTTGTACCACTACAGAGGACAGCCAAGACAGTGCCCCGACATCAACCTGCTGTTATGCTTTTCTCCAGAGAAATCTGGGAGGAAACAGCATGCAAAGCTGTTAAGTCCACATCAAACCCAGTTCACTGACAGGCATCCCTGTGGAGCGTTGCTCCTTCCAGGCTACCCTCCAAAGCGCTCGCCCAAGCTCTTCACACCCTGCTGAAATACAATCCTGTGCCAAAATACATATGCTGATAATTTGTGTGAAAATTCAGGAACTTGACACTGTTTTTGTGGGGTGGTTTAGCTTTTTAAAAAAAAAAAAAAAACAAGCAAACTTTAGTAAAAGGTTAAATGAGTCTTCTCTGTAGGGGCTGAAAATGCAATGCTAAGACAATAAAACAAGGAATAAGAATGTATTTTAAGAATGAATACAAATGGAAATTGGCAAGTCAAAGAGTAAAACAGGCTTCTTCACATAAATCAACAGCTCTAACCAGGAGATGCAATGCTAACTCTGGCATTCTCACTGCTAGTCAAGCATCTCACTGACATCCTCGTGACCAGCGCACCAAATACATGTATACTTTTATACTTTTGTAACTGGACATTAGGTCTGAAATTGTAACAATAAAGGAACAAAAGAAAAGACTTTGCAGCTTCTCTTCCATTACACTGTAGGTAGGAATAACAGTTTGCCTTAAGGAAATACTACTACCCTTTATTTAGCCAACCTGTGGTAATCAGGTGCAAGGGAGGTCAGAGGCACAGATAAGACAGATTTCTAAAATGACTCATCATTTTCCTAATTAAGTAGCAGCTTTACAGATAACACTGATGACGTTTCGTACTGTCATCTGGAAGTACTGCCTGCTGTTTCTGAGGAAAACAAAACAATTCCAATTCACTCTCAGAATTCTTTCTTGAAATCATCTAGTGTTGACACTGTGAAAAGGACGTTAAGTAGAACAGATTAAAGATTTAACCTGCTATACCAAGCTCAAGCATTTACTAGTTTTGATTTAACTCAACATGGATGAAACTAAGCTTCATTCTAACTTTGTTGGAGCCAGTCTCTTAAAGCTTCTAATGAACATAACTAAGAGTAAAAGGAAGGACTGCTCAATGCTACACATTTTTATCAGAAGACTGCTTTCACCATGCCTCATCTCTGCTGCTGTTACCCTGTTAAACCTGGAGAGAATCCACCACTTCACAATGTGAACATGGTAGTAAGTACTAGCCAGACACGAACAGCTAGGGGAGCTTTGCTTCCAAACATTCTCCTCAAATATTTTGTGCACAATATACAATAATCCACCCTTCCTTGCTCTGCTAGGGCATAAACTTTTGTAGATTCATATATTAACTGAAAATTAAAGACAGAACAATGAGAAGAATTAGATCAATCTATTCTTCCCCCAGTAAAATCATTACTGCAACTTAAAAGGATCTGGTTGGACACACTTCTACGCTGCCATGTCTTCTTCAACCTATTTCATCATTCTTTAAAGATGAGAGCAACCACAACTCAGCTAGCAAAAAATAAAGAATTCCTTCAGTGCAAGGAGAGACAGCTCTGTCGCACCACTTTACTGCCAAGCTGCCAATCTCACACTTGAGTGAATGATGAGCACTCACTGAGTCTTGTACTAACCAAAAAAAAGGCAGTAAAGTCTGCAACTTACAGATTTCAGATTGACTGGGAATTTAGCAGGGCAACAACCAAGAGGCTTCAGAGAAGCAAAGAACTAATGACAGTACAAGACAACTGTTACATTTATGACAGCTGTAGTACAGTACCTGCTCCTCTCTCTTCTGCTTACGCAGCTGAAGACCCTCTTCCTCTCGCCTGCGACGCATTTCATCAGGATTCAGGGATTTGTTCTTGTAGCTCTTCAGTCGGAAATTCTCTTTTCCTGAGGTCGTCATGGTTCCTTTAAGATGCAGTTAAGAGATTCAGTCAGAACAATTACACTTCAGCAACACATCAATTTACGTCCTCTCTCTCTCAAACCTCTCTGCGCACTTCCAGCTACTGCCTCCCTATAACGTGCTATTTAACATCCAGTAAAACAGAAGGGGTAAGGCAACTTCACTGTGCTGATTTTTCCACATCAGACCACTCAACTTTTACTTTATTCCTTAGGTAGAGAGATACAAATAAGTGAAATGTTTATCAAGAAAGAACTGAGATTTCTAAGCCAGAAGATACAAGGCTAAGAAGAAAGAAACACTATGATCTATTAGTGCTTCTCCCTTCAAGGGATTTATTAATCACTGCACTCAGAACGGAAGTGGCCTTAGCTCCATTTTAGCTTAATTCACTTAGGAAGTCAGAAGCTTTTTTTGCACTTCAAATCCACATTTTAAGTTAATTCAAATCCATCTTGTGTTCCTTCTATCCAGGCAAGACCTACAAGAAAAATGAAATGGAGATGGACACATTTTAGATGAAGGTTTACTACTCAGAAGATCCACTTCTTATCTTGCTCTTCCCTTTTTCCCCCACCCCCAGCCTGTAATTCTGTTACTGTTTATACAAAAGAGCCTTTTTAAGCCTATGATTTCCAAGTTCCATAATTCATACATAACTTAGTGGATCATCAACTTTAATACGGACCCCTGACAATTTTCACATATCCAATGGTGCAATTTGGAGTTATCTAGCATAGACCAACAATTGCAAAACTGAGAAGAAAGTCTACCCATAAACCAGATGAGCCACAGATCAGTCTCCACCTACAGTCCCCCAGTTTCCTGCTATTTCTCTTATGTCTCCCCATTACGCCCCAAAAACGTTGAGAACAGAATTCTGAAAGTAGCAGTATTCCCATGCATCTTCCCACAGATGTAATATGTGATATGTTATAGCTACTGAAACTCTGTAACAGAAGATTTAAGAAACAATGCTATGCATAAAGTTATTCTACAGTGCTTTTAAAGGCCTCCTTCCAGTACCCTAATTTGTTACATTAAATATGCTACCTACTTCCAATTCCATAAGCACAGAATTACCAGATGACAAGAGATGTGCTGTGCACTTCATTTATACAGAGAGTCAAGTGTAAGCTACTTTCTGTTAACATGAAAAATTTTAAGAGATTTTATGCAATATCTAAATGTATTTCTCATTAGAGCTTAGTTTTGAAGTTGCTGATGCCTGACAGCCATTTATATAAACTGATGCTTATGAAACATTCCATGCATCACTTCAAGGTAAATGCATTCTGCTAGTTAAAACTTTTACAGGATGCTAAACTACTATACTTTAGATGGCTTGGTCACTGATCATACAAAATGCAACACGAAAACCTGAACATGTAGATAAGTAATCTAGCAGCCTAGTTCTACTGAAAAAATACTTCCTAAAATGGCTTCTTTTTAAATGGAAATCCTGCAAAAATATGATCTCAGGACTCCAGGAGCTCCCTACGTCATTCTTAGCAACTTAGAGACTATATTCTTCACATTGTTTAGGTGTCTGAGCTTCAACTTCTCATGTTTCTTGCAATATGCTTGGCAATTACATTTTCTTCCTGTTCTGAGGTTTTTCGAATGACTACAACCTCTACAAATACTATTTGGAGAAACTGTGGGTTTAATTATAGAAAGCTAATGCTAACAAATACTCAGGCTGAGTACACAAAGTTTTTTGTTTTCAGATAGAAATATTTTATATAGTCTAGAATCAAACACCAGATGGAAAACCATGAGCTAAAAGGACACATCTAACCAAAAAAGGTTTTGTAGCCACACCAGTCAATCTGCCCTACAACACAAACAAGTACAGGCACACACACACCATAGCTCAGATAAGATCTCATGCCTCCCATGACAGTATTCACCATTCTGCTTTTCTATCTGAAACATCTTCCCAAACTCACCAGAGTAAATTTGCCATTACTGGAGGTGTCAGGTTCGATAGCTCCTGCAATCATTTAACACCTTCACTTTCAGTCCTTAGAAGTTCTCTGCTCATAGAAATCCTTGACATTTATCATATTCAATTCTTACTATTGAATTCTATCTTATTTCTGTTTTGGAGTTCTACTGTATGATGCTTCAATGTTTCTAAACATCAAGGAGAATCCATCTTTACTGTCAAGTTTCCTTAGCATATTCTTTTTTGCTGTCATTTTTGTCATTCGTGCCTAGAACTTAAGTATTATCTATTTATTACAACCCTTCCAAGCTTTAGCTGTAGCTTTTGGCTATGCTTATTTCTTACCTCCAAGACAGCTGCCTTTGCTGACTGATCAGTGCACTTAAAATCCTTTCTAAATAGCGTACTGTGCTTTACTCTGTAGTAAAGCTCTTCTATATACTCTCACCAAGTGACCAGGAATACAAAGTTTCTTCTATTAAGAATAGAAACATTTCGTTTCTTTCAGCGTTGAGAAATCACTGAATGCAATCACTGATTTCTCACTAGTCTCTAACCAGTGACAAATAAACAAAATCCCAACGCACTGCCACATACCTGCCTGTCTAACTTAATCAATCCAAAGATGCTATCCAAAAGCAGCTTCTGCAACTACCTCAGGATGTCCTAAATCTAAAATGCTGCAATTCCTCTATTGGTTCTTCGACCATGTTCAGGACATCATCTAGCCCATATCTCCTGACAGCATCCTTACACCTATTCAGTTTTGGTTTTTTTGTTGTTTTTTTTGTTTGTTTGCTTGTTTTTTTAAGAGAAAATAAAAGAATCCTATGTCAGTTGCTACAAACATCCAAGAATATTTTTCCATAAGTCTTCCACTTTTCAGGATGTAGGCTTTGCTCTAGACAAAACCAATGAGTCAAAATAACCTCAAACCTTTCCCATCCATCTTCAACAGTTTTTGCTGCAGCTTAACTGAAAATCTTTCAACAACCAGTTCACATTTATACATTGTGAATTACTTCATAGCAAACAGTAAATCCTGGATCTTCTCTGCACTATCAAAATTAATGCTGTCTGTGATGAAAGTCAATGGTGGTTGTCATAGAAATGTTCTACAGATCTTCTGTCCTAACAATAGAAGAGTATTTTCCACATTTCTGGACACTCCTACAGTCTGTAGTTTAAAATCCTCGGTAATCCAATGAGTTTTCATTATGTACTCTTTCACCTTTTGTGCAGTACTACTGAAACACTGTATTACACTTTTTACTTGCTTGTTTTGGCTGCCTTGAAACAAAAACAAACAAACAAACAACCCTCTGTAACAAAATGGAAAACATCTATTTTTGGGTGCCTAAGGAAGCATTCCCCAATTTTTTTTGCTGATCAGGACAAAGGCCGTACCAAAAGTGGAGGTGAACAAAGAATAGGTTTTTAGGAGATAGGAAAAGTACTGCGTTTCTGCTTGCTGATTAAGTCAAAGAATTTTAGTTTGTACTGGGAAATGCAGTCACTTATTGCAATGACCTACCTTGTCCCTAGTAATCATCTATATAGGAACAAAAATGAACTCCCTGCCTTCTTAAATCAGATATCAATCATCCGAAGCAGAGACAAAAAATGAACTCTCTGTCTTCCTAGATCAGATATACTGTCGCTAGCCTTAAGAACTTTGCTAGGAGAAATGCCACATGACAAACACTTGGCCATTCCACACGTCAGAAGCATCACAATATAAAGGCTTTGCAAATCAAGACCAGCAGAGATGTATACATAATCCCAAAAGATAACTGAAACCAAGTTTATGAAATGTACTGATAGCAAAGATGTCAGACACTTTTCTTCTTCAGAATGAGGTGATGGAAACAGGTTACCTGATAACCATATAGCCATACACAAAACTGCACCTTGCAACCCAAATACAACGGGGAAAGAAGACTTGAACAGCCTGGGGAAGAGAAATGTTATTTAAAAAAAGTTACCCTGAAGAACCTTGATTAAAGACACCATCACTCCCCTTCTCCTAACTGACAAAGGCAGCTGTCGGCAGGAAAGTATTCACTGGAGGCACAGGTTGTGAGCTCTGTTGGTCTTGTTTTTTTCTTGTCAGACTGCCGTACCCAGTTTACAGAAAAGATGCAAGAGGTACTATTGCCCCTGAAAGGACAGCCTGAGTTAGGAAAAGGGCTGTCAGGACAGAAGGCCAATCACAGAGAGAAGAAGTAAGATTTCAAGGTAGGTAAGTAATGCTTTAACTACTCTACAAAACTGCAACTGCTACAGAGCCTTTACTTCCGAGGAGACATTGGTTTGTTTAGTGGCTCTGCCACAGAACTCTATACTCCTTCGAGAATTAGCTTCCCCATGGTCATGCTTCTTATCATTCCAAACGCAACAGCACAGCCTGGACAGCTACTCCGCCAATTCACTGACCTCTGCCTACAGGATGCATCATCTCCTGAAGTTCTTTGTGACTGAAAGCCTATCCAATTTAAAGAAACAGCTCTGACAGCAGCACGTAGTTATTCATCAACAGACTGCCTCAGAAGTCCAGCATCTTGGCCACATACACGTTTTTAGCCACAAAGCACTGATTTTGAAAAGAGACTATTTTCATTTTTGCCAGTTCCAAGGCAACAGGTTTAGGATCCTAATAAAAGGACTTTGATATGTGGAAATATATATATATTTTTTTAGAAGAAAGAAAAAGTACTGCATTTCTGCTTGCTGATCAAGACACAGAAAACCAGAAAAGCCAGCTTTCTTGTAAATAACAGATAACTTCATAGCATAGACAGGCATAGTTTGCATAGTAAGACCATGAATATACAGTATATGCTGATACAAATAACAGCAAAGGATTAATGCTATTTTCCTGAAAATAACTATCTTTTCCAAGAAAGAGAGACAAAACAAAAACAGCCCATCAAGTCCCTGCATTGCTTACAATCTTATCTGAGGAAAAAAAAAAAACACAGAAAATCAGCAGACTGACATCTCACTGCCACACCTCCTGCTGTCTGAAAAATTGACTCAATCAAACAAACA